CATCTCATCTCATCATTTCAGATCATACATCACCACCATCATATCATTATCATCATCATCATATCATCATATCACCATTCATTAATCATCATCATCATCATTCATCATCACCCATCATCATCATCAATCATATCATTCATCATCATCCAACCATTCACATCATCATTATCACATCATCCATATCATCATCATCATTCTCATCATTATCATCATCATATCATCCTCACCACCATCATCTCATCATCATCACTCATCTCATCATCATTCATCATAATTCATCTCTCATCATTATCATCATCAATCAATCACATCATCATCATCATCAATTATTTCTTTTATTCATCATCATCTCATATCATATCATCATCAATCACTACATCATTATCATCATCATCTCATCATCTCATATCACCAAGTCATCATCATCATCATCATCAATCATCATCATATCATCCACTATCATCGATCATCATTTCTTCATCATCATCATCACTCTCATATTATCATCATATCATCATCATCATCATCATATCATCAATTCATCATCATACTCATCATCATCATCTTATCATCATCATCATCATCATCATCATCATCATATCATCATTCCACTCATCATCATCATTCATCATCTTCATCATCATCATACATCATCACATCATCATATCATCATCATCATCATCATCTCATTATCATTCATCTATCATTCACACTTCATCATCAATCATCATCAATCATCATCATCATCATTCATCACATCATCATCATCATCCATCTATCATCATCATCATCATCATCATCATCATCATATCATCATTTCATCTCATCATCATCTCATCATCATCTTTTCATATCATTCATCATATCATACTATCATCATCATCATCATCTCATCATCATCTCATCATATCTCATCATCATCATCTACATCATCTTCATCATTATCATCATCATCATTATCTCATCATCTAATCCTATATCATCATATAATCACTCATATCATCATCATCTCATCATCATCATCATTATCATCATCATCATCATCATCATCATCATCATATCATCATCTCATCATCATCAATCTTATCATCATCATCACATCATTTCATCATCTCATCATCATTATCTATCATCATCATTCATCATCTCATCATCATCATCATCATCATCATCATCATATCACCATCATCATCATCATCTCATCATCTCATTCATCAATCATCTCATCATCATATATAATGCATTATCATCATCATCATTCATCAATCATCATATCATCATTATCATTTCATCATCATTCATCATCATCATCTCAATCATATCATCATAATCATTATCAATTATCATCAAATCATCATCATCTCATCATATATCATCATTCATCATCATCATCATCTCATCATCCTCATCTCATCATCATCATCATCATCTCATCATTCTCATATCATCATCTTCATATCAATCATCATCTCATCATTCATGAACAACAAAATATATGATGATGATAATGATGATGATGATGGTGGTGATGATGATGATGATAATGATGATGATGATGGTGATGATGATGATGATGATGATGATAATGATGATGATGATGATAATGATGATGATGATGATGATGATAATGATGATGATGATGGTGATGATGATGATAATGATGATGATGATGATAATGATGATGATGAAAAAATTGGATGGATGTATCGGAAATATAATTTTTACTAAACTTCAGAGTCGCTTTATCGTTTTTGAGCCACACATACAACTAAATTGGAGACAATTTAACATTAACCTTTCAGCTGCTATGCAATTTCTTGTTATACCTTGCTTCATCGTCATCAGTTTTGTCCGTCCCCCCCTCCCAATGCTCAGAAAAGTTGGTGCCTGAGAAAAGTGCAAATCTGCAATAAAATTAGTACCTCAGGGGGGGGGGATGATATTTCAGACAAAAATGAAACGTTTTAAAGACTGCAAGTAAACGACTGTAAGAAATATTCTGAAATTTTAAGCTTATCCTAAGGGCGTGGTTGCAAAAATTTCAGCTAGCTTCGCTCGCAAGGGGCCCTCGTCTGTACGTCTACTGAATAGTTTGTAACTTCCCTTCGTTTTAAGGTTTATATAGAAAAGTCCTTCACGTTCTTTAGATATGCCCAATTTTTTAAAAGTCTTCGTATCAATATTTAAAAAAACTTGATTCTGAAATGCTTGTCGGAGATTTTGCAAATTTTTCTCCATAGAAAGCGGACTTAGTTTCAAACTTATGCATACTGCCTTTTATTTTTAGATATTTGCTTACAACTTTGGAAAATCAGATTTTAAACGTAGCACTTATTTGCCTTACACAATTCAGAATATCAACGTTAGAGGAATTGTGAAGGAAATAGACAGTTGTAGAATGGTGGTCAGCCACAAAAAGCTACATATGAAGATTATTTTGCTTGATTAGCCAACCATTGCCAGTTAAAAATACCATTGCTTTTCAAAACTCATTTACAAAATGGGGTGTTTTCCCAAATTTTTATAGGTGTTGTCAGCAAAAGTTTTCCCGGGGGTAATGCCACGGACCTCTGCTGTCGGACTCCTCTTTGCCCCTTGAATCCTCCAACCCTGGCTGTGTCACTGGTCTGGAGTACAAGCTACCAGTACCTGAGCATCAAATACATTTTATTTATACTTATAGGAACCAATAATTATTCCTTCAACCCAGTGCCCCTGGGAAAAATGTGCAATTCTAAATTTTCCTTAAAAAACCCTGCCGTCTCCCCAACCTCTATTTAATCATTCTGAAAACTTTGTCACGAAAGAGCAAAAGTCCCTTTCTAGACTTCCTTATTGAAACATGTTTGTAAACTTAATGCAAACATAAGCCCGATAAATGTACCTTGTTTCTTAAAAACATCGTATCTGCAATCGTCCACAAAAATTGTGAGACTTCTTTTCCTTTCCACCTCACAATAATGCGAACGTCTCTTTGGCGTATTTTTCCCAAAAGAAAACCTCGAAATTATTTTGTAAACAATTCGTAATTTTGACTTGGGTTTCAGACAGACTTATTTGTTGCTCAATCCTTCCACAATCCCCACCCCTCCCCCGCCCCCTCCAAGCAATGTTGTTTTGTTGAGGTGAAATAGTTAGTGAAATAGTGGACTTGCTGACCGGCTTTCGGAAACGGGCCTAAGCTGAAGGTTGCTTATTCCGATACGAATGCTCGCCTAGTCTAACCGCAACGTTAGAATGGATTTGATGTTGGCTGAAATTCTCTAGCCAGTTAACTCTTTTATTGATATTGTCCCAGAGTCTTGCACAATTACCACTAATAAAACTTTCACACGTTGTGAATGGTCTGATTTGCACGTTTCTCAATCCTTTTGTGAAGTCATAAACTCGCAAAGTCATCTAAAATTGCGTTTCCCAAGGCTTATTTGTTGTGCATTCAATTCTCTTAACACCCTTTTCGTAAAGGTTGACAATACTCCCTTGCTTGAGATTTCACAATAGCAAAAAAAAGAAAAACTTGCCAGCAAAATGATAAACCGCATAGAAAGTTTTGGAAGGTGTTTACTTCGTGTCCAACACTTGACGTCACAAGCCTACAAAGCACGTGACTCGACCGCGTTTTCGCCCCGCCATAATTTTGATGAAATTTCGCAACTTTAACCGCAAATTACAGAAAACTTATTACGAATTTGACACTGAAACCAAAAAATATGGATTTAGCGTGTCTACATATGTAAGAAACTTCAATAAAAAAATTCGTTTCATATTCACTTTAAGCTTGGTTCCCACTAGGCGACTAACCTGAAAAATATAGAAAAGGGAAAAAAGAAAAAAAGGAAGGGAAGGAGTTCCCTCCCATTTTTTCTTTTTTCCCTTTCTTTGATGGATAGAGAGAGACTTTTAGCAAGTCCACTGAAATAGTCGCAAATCATGTATGCGAAGACCGCATGACAACAACAAAGTCTCAACAACATTGCTTAAAGGAGGGGGGGGGTCAAATACAATTCTAGTAGATGACTGTCGGTTTCAATATATTTTGTGAAGGATTGTGGATCGGCAGCTCCGAAACTTACTTGGTGTCAGGAACTCTGCTTGAACGACAAAGAAAATTCCGTGAAAACAATTTCACGCTTTGATAGACCTTTTGTTATGTTGAAACATAAACATTTGAACAGACAATAAGTTTGCACTTTCCCAAGCATAAATCGATAGTTAAAAGAGTACTCCTCCATTAACGTTGATAAATCGAAGCAGACATGGAATATGATGATACTGATGATATGTGGTTATGGCCAGTCAAGGTTTGTTTCAGCTTCACCTGCATCCTTTATCTCTGATTATTTACAACTTTAGCTTAGGCCATATAGCTATCATAGAGTCTGTTCATATAGAGAAAGTTACCCCGGCCATTTCCCGGTAAAGTGGGAATCTCTCCTGGCCGGTAGCCGTGGAAAAATTATAGACCTTTCATATGCTCATATTTTCCCGTTCTGCCTGGATAACTTCAGAGCCATTATTTTTAAATGATAAGAGTAGATTGTGTCAAGGTATTGTGTGCAAATTGAATCTATTTCCCCGCTTTGCCGGGAAGTAAATGCAGATGCTGCGAAGACTTTCTGTAATTTTTTTGATGGTACAAAACTTGAAAATGGCTTTGAAAAAAGCAAACATTTGAGTAAACTGTCAGAACATTGATCGAAAAATCCTAGGGGCAAATCACTCCAAGAAAATCTCGTACACTTTTTCGGGAAATCCAATTGTTTTATCTGAAAATCCCTTATCGGCCAATCAGAAACGCGAGCACGTGACTGTTAAGGTTCAGCAATCAGTGCTGGAGTAACTTCTTTTGTCTGCACAATAAGCGTTTTGATGCGGCTTTTTTTCTTTGTTTTGGGAAGAAAGATTTTAGCCACTGGTCCTCTCATTTTTGAATATTTTGTTCATCATCTAAAATTGACTACAGTATCAACATGGCTACTAAGCTAGATTTAGTTAAAGTGAAACAGGAGTTGAGCCAAAGATTAGACCAGCCAAGATTAGAAAACTCTAATTCTAAGGGCGAGTTCTTCTATGACGTTTATGATGTCTTTTATGTTTTATCCTTTTCATTTTAACTGGAAGTTTTAAGTCAAAATGTCTGCTTTCTTTTGCAGATCGAGAAGATTGAAACAACCCGTGATCAGAGGGCTAACGGCAGTAGCAAGGGAGAAAAGACGAACAGTGATGTCAAATACGAGAAATCCAAATCTGAGTTGCTGTATAATATTGAAGAAAATCCACCTTGGCATTTAGCAGTTGGCCTAGGGTTTCAGGTTTGGGATTTGATAAAAATTATACGCCATAGTGATAGTTTGATCTTTTACGATATTTGTCTGAATACAATTTACGCGCCAGAAACCTGGACACGAAAACACGACAGATTTTTCCAACACAGTCATCGAAATAAGCTTCCACACGTGAACAGGCAATAAAATAGAGGAGCACGTGGATGTCAATAGGATTCAGCTTCTGCTGAACCAAACCCTGGTTGGAATAACATTATATCTTTGTCAAATGAGCCTTGGGTAAGCCTGGGCTAACTCCAGCTGTCACATGCATGTTCGCATACACGAAGGAAAAAGTTGCGGATCACATACAGAATGATAATTTTTCTTTCGGAACGTACATACCTTTTTGCATTTCTAGGAGACTGAAATTTTCAGTTGTTTTATTGTACTTTTAACACTCACTTTAAGGTTACGGTAACCGTTTTCTGGATAAAAAACATTCATTTTTCGATTATTTCACATTCAAGTAGCCGAACTTTCAAGGCAAACAATGATACCAAATTTGAAACTAACAGACATTTTGAAAATGGAAAAAATCCCATGTAAACGAGGGTTTCCATAATAACTTCTTTATCATAACGTTTAGTTGAGGTCTGAAAATCTCTTGCCATGTTAAGCCGATTATCGTTGCTTTGCGGTTGTGGTCGCATGCCTCTTTTACAACATCGCATGGCACATCCATGTACGGCTGTGTTTATATAAACAGGCTTATTGATCTTAAAGCTTCAAGTGACTTGACCCTGAGTACACTGTGGTTTACGAGTGTACCTTGCAAGTGCGATCAGTAAAATCCCCTTTTCTCCGGACTTACAATTCGTCTACATACAGGTACAAAAAAGCTATTTTGTACCCAAGGAACCAATTGAATGGCTCAAAAATTTGCACACGGCAAAAACAGATGTCGGGTAAGCAAAGTGTATCTCAAAATTTTTGAATTTGCTATGGTCTGTCTTCTTTAGCCAAATACAGCTATGAGAGGGAAGAAAATTTTTTTGCAATTTTTAACATAGTATAGTTTCAAGGGGAGGAGGAATTTGAAAAATCTGAGACAAAATTGGTAGCTAAGGATCTGCGCTTTCTGCTGACATAAAGTCAGATTTTGATATCTCGAACGCAAGGGTTCAAAATAGCTTTTGAAGGTGGTACACTCATTTAGCAATAAGTTTGCCTGGAAAGTATCATTTTACAATATTTGCCAATTATTGTTATATGGTTGAAATCACCACATTCTTGTGCATCGAATGATGTAAAGTTTAATCTGATTCCGTTAATAGTTTGGCTTTTAGGGAGAGAAAACCAAATATTGTCTCAAAAACGTTTACCGTAACCGGATAACATGATAGTAGGATTCGTTAACATGATCAAAAACGTTAACATGATAGTAGGATTCGTTGTGTATTGTCGCTGGATTTTGCTGTCTAAATTGCTTGTTTTACAACTTTGTTCTATACGATAAGGATTTCCACTATAAAGAATGCCCCACCGAATAATGGGACGCATTACAAAATAGTACTATTTATTATTTATCATTTGTTATTAATGATTTTCATCATGCTTCAGCAATACCTGACAATGTTTGGAGGGACGTTCACGATGCCATTTATACTTTCGATACCGCTATGTTTTGCGAATGAACCTGTTGTAATTAGCAACATCCTTAGCACAATTATGCTGGCCTCTGGGATAGTGACATTGCTGCAAGCAACGTTTGGCACAAGGTAATCCACAAGGAATTTCAATCTTTAGAAAACTAACGTTTTTAGAATAAGTAGAAAAAATCCACCGTTCTTTGATGGTTGTCAAATTTATTCTAGATTTTCAAAGAGTAGGTGTTATGTTTTTTATTAAGTTCATGTGTGTATCAGCTATGGTAGGCTGGATTCAATTGGAGACGCCATTGTTTCAATCAGATTTATACAAAATCAATTCAGCAATAGGTAATGCCAATACTTAATGAATACGTAACTATTTAGAACGATTACTTAAACGCTATTAAAACCTTCTTGAAATCCTCTTTAAAACGCTTCCTGAATACCTCCTAAAAGATCCTCCTCTCCAAATATGGACGCATGTAAAATTCAACTAAATAGTAGGATGCTATTAACTACAACCAATCACATGAATGACATGCAACTGCATATCAATCACAATGAAACAACACAACAACCACAACATAGGTACCGTAAGTGAGAAGAAAATTTTATTTAGGTGTGAATCGAAAGCAGCGTGAGCGGAAAATAGACGCGTTTGATTGGTTCGTGTGTTTTCAACCAATCAGCCACGGCTAACCTCTCCATTTTTTATTCGACGTTTATACTCTGAAGAGTGTTGGACGAAAAGTGCTTCAGTGTGCTATATTTCTGCTATTTCGTGCCATCTTCAAATTTTGCAGTCTGAAAAACTTATTTGCTTTGCTTGAAATTGTTCTTATTTTGCCATTGATTTTTTATCAACAAACATTTACCTAATTAAATTGTTACATTATTTTTCCCTGACTTTTAATCTAAAGCTGGGCATGTTTTTAAGCTGTTCCCGTTTTTTTTAAATCGAGCGTCGGCGTCTTGAAAAGCTTTTTTTCCACTAAAAAAGAAGTAAAACTAGATTATGAATCTTTATCACATTTTTCGATATGACCTTTTAAGGTTACGGTAAACTTTTCTGGATGAAAACATCCATTTTTCGACTTTTTCACATTCAAGAAGCCGAGCTTTCAAGGTACACAATGAAACCAAATTTGAAACTAACAGAAATTTTGAAAATGGAAAAAATCCCATGTAAACGAAGGTTTCCATAATTCCTTTATCAGAACTTTTAGTTGAGGTCTGATAATCTCTTGACCTGTTAAGCCGATTATCGTTGCTTTGCGGTTGTGGTCGCATGCCTCTTTCTATATAATGTTAAGACTGCCGCAGACGATCTGCGACGATCTGCGACGGTCTGCGGCACCTTCCCGGTGAAAGTGTTTCCATATAATCTTAAGACTGCCGCAGACGATCTGCGACGATCTGCGACGATCTGCGACGATCTGCGACGATCTGCGACGATCTGCGACGATCTGCGACGATTCGCGACGATCTGCGACGATCCTGCTTAACGCACTTCATTCATCTGGCATACTTTGAAAACGTTGTTCTGATGTTGTTATAGTGTTTCTGTGCCACTTCCACATCAATTCCAAGTTCCCTGCTTACTTCTTTCCACGCATTCTTTTTCTAAGTGGAATTTTATAGTCTTTGCTCATCTTGTCGTAAATCACCGGGTAGTTTTGAACGCAATTCATCAATGTTTCGTTATCAATTTCATTCTCAATTTGCATTGCCATTTTGTTATGATTGCAAGGAAGAAATGACACGTATTGCAACACAAAGGAAAAAGCGCGGGATTATTTAAAAAAAGAGGTTTTGATTGGACGACAGAATGCACGTGGGTATTTGTCAACAAGGGCGTGTCACAGATCGTCGCAGATCGTCTGCGACCCATGTTCCCATATGATCTGGAAGCGCCGGGAAGGTACCGCAAGAGAAAAAAAGTTTAACATGTTCAACTTTTTGCAGATCGTCGCAGACCGTCTGCGGCAGTCTTAAGATTATATGGAAACCAGGCTTTACAAAATCGTATGACACATCCATGTATCCAATGTACGGCCGTGTTTATTTAAACAGGCGTGACTTGACCCAGATTACACTGTGGTTTACGAGTGTACCTTGCAAGTTCGATCAGTAAAATCCCCTTTTCTCCGGACTTACAATTCGTCTACATACAGGTACGACAAAGCTATTTTGTACCCAAGTAACCAATCGAACGGCCAGAGCAGATGTCGGGTGAGCATGTGTCTCAAAATTGTTGTATTTGCTCTGGTCTGTCTTTCATAGCCAAATACAGCTATGAGAGAGAAGAAAAATTTTTTGGGAACTAGGCCGTCACTTGCAAATCGTGTTTGAATAAAAATGTTAGCTTTTTTAATCCTGTTGGACCCTTTGTATCATCTGGTCAATCCGTTACAATCCGTTTCAATCTAGCCTTACCTATCTTGGTACGTTGGCTAAAACCTCGCTCAGTTGGATCCACTGACATTAATTATTAGGTTGTGTATTTTAGCTTAGGAGTATTCTTGAGATTCATCATGTCCTCAATCTTTCTCTGTCTAGGCTACCAATCATCCAGGGATGCACATTCGCCTTTCTCGCTCCGACTTTTTCCAGTATGGCACTACGCGGGCCTTGTCAACCTATACGACCAACAGGTATTTCAGGCTCTAGAAACTTGGGACTTTGTTTCTAGCGCGGACTAGTTCATATTGGAGTTTTCAGGCTACGCACCTGAAGTCAGAATTATAGTGTAAATTATGTTTAATGTTATTTACAAGGGATTTTCATGACCAATATACAAAGGCGCAAGGATGGAAAATTTGTGTTTGAGCAATATCTTGCCGGCATGCAACAAAGGTTCCAGTCAAGGGATTAGCTACACGGCGCTAGTAAAATACAAGATTACTTATGTCAAAGTTTATAAAAAAACACTTATGTATAAGAATTTGTTATTCTGTAGTCATCTATTGTTGTTGCTTGGTTAATTCCACCACAATATTGTTGTGTTCAAAATAATGCTGAATCAGCATATTTCCGTGTACTGGAAAAAATCTTACGTTTTTTTTTTCATTTCATGCAGAATTCACTTTATCTGAATTAAACGGCTGCTGTAACAAAACGTTTCAGCTCGTTACAGAGCTTGGTTTACTTGATTCATGCTACGTATGCAAAAGTCATTCATCATATCATTGTTTTACTTATAGTCCCGCCAACGTCGTATCAAAATCTCACAGCGAGCACAATAACGTTTACCTCAGCAACAACAATTGCAACAGGAGAAGCTGAATGGTTAATCCGCATGAGAGAGGTAAGAATTTTATTATAAAAATGAAACTTCCAATACGAATAATGGATTCTTGAATGTCCTTGTTAAGTTTCCCACCATTTATGTTCCCAATTAGATATGTTTTGGCATATCTGATTAAAAGCTTTAAATTCTTATTTACACAAAAAGTGATTCTATGATTTTGCCTAGATTCAAGGAGCGGTTATGATTGCTGGTTTATTCCAACTTGTGATTGGATTCAGCGGTGTTATGGGACTGTTGCTTCGTTCAATTGGTCCATTGACTGTCATACCAACAATAACCTTAGTTGCTTTGCCTCTTTTTGAAACAGCTTACCAATATGCAGGTGAGGCTGATTTTTCGAAGATTTTTCCTACCAATGATTTGAGGAAATTAAGTTTTGAAAAAGGGTGAAATGTTTTGTCCTAGATTGCATTCCTTGTGAGATGCTTTGTAGTAAATATTTTAGAAAGGTTTTTAAACGGCATTGGAAAAGAACGTAACAGAAAAAAATCCCTTTAAGCAAAGGTTCATGACAGTCTAAGGAAAATATATTCGCTTTCTTACTCAATTTTATAAATTTAAAAGAGCATTCATTTTCAATAGTGGTAACATCATTTTTCTGTATTTTATAGCTGCCTAAATAAAAATCTCCTACTTGGCCAAAAATATCCTACTTGGTTGTAATCGAGTTCCGCTACCATTTTTCGTAAAATGATATTTTATACAATGCTATAAATAATATTTGTTTAAGAAAGCATCTTCTTAATATATTATTTTCTTGCAGGTACACAATGGGGAATATCAATGCTGTACGTATTGAATTTTGCTTCAATGGTAGTTCACTAGCTGCTTTTATAGCATCGATAACATATTTACTTCTGTCCAGAAATAGGCTTAATGTAAACATTTATTTGCCCATCAACATAGTCAGCACATCACATATATTTTCGTTTACTTTTCTAACTTTCTATTTACGTTCATCCTTTTGATTTTTTCCAGGACAATTTTCCTGACGACGCTGTTTTCATACGTTTTAGGAAACATCAAGCTCCCTTTTCCTCTTTACTCTGGTGGAAGTTGGCTTTCTGAGAAAATTCCTATATTCAAGCTTTTTCCTGTAAATAAAGCTTCACTGTGTAACGAATTCTTTATTTAACGATGAAAAGAAAAGTATTTGCAGAGTGCTGCTACTGAGCATATCTAAGAAAGAGATAAATGATTTTTTCTATATTCGAAATTTTTGCAAGCATAATAAAGCATTGAGCAAACTCTGATCCAAGGCTGTTAGCCAAGTGTAAAATCACTATTCTTCATATGGTCCGTATTTTTCTTTCTTCAAAGTCCTTTATCACTTTACCTTGAAATTCCTTGTATCTTTTGTTTTCTTCTGTTCATTTTGTTTGAAAGTGAGATGATTTTCTTGTTTTACACAAGACAGTGATATAATTTAACCCCTTCAGATTTTATGTGCTGTCCTACTGTCGTGGATCTTATGCGCTATTCTAACAGCAACTGATGTATTCCCACCTGGACACAAAGCTCGAACAGACACAAGGTCAGCAGTTCTGCACCAAGTTCCATGGATCAGAGTTCCATATCCAGGTTTTTGTTCAATTTTTTTTGGCTCATTAAGACTCTTTTCCTCTTGTTTTCTTCTTTCCTTATTTATTCCGTTCTACATTTCCTATTTCATTATTTTCTCTTTCTTTGTTTTCTATTTTTTAATTCACTTTTTACTTCCTCTTTCTCATCTTTTAATTCGTTCATTGCTTCTACTTTTCTTTGCCTTTACTCCAATTATTTTCCTTTTACTGTCGATTTTTTCTTTTCTTTGCCTCGCTGTTTTTCTCTGTATATTTTTCTCTTATCTGTAATCTATATTGTTCTCTTTTTCATTCATTTTATTCTCTACCTTCCTAACAATTTTCTTTTTTCATTTACACCCTACTAACTACTTCTTTTCATTGAATTTAGCCAGAGTCCAGCAAAAATAACTGTCCCACAATCATTGACCGGGGGAAGGTTTGAGAAGCAATAGAATTTTGGAGAAAAAAAATTGACACAACTTATTTTGCACTTGTTTATTTTTTGCACTTTCAAGGCACACATTGAATCTGTAGCAGGGTCGATTGGGAACGTGAACCATTAGGTCTTTTGGAAAAAAAATTTATGCTACGCCCTTTTACAACTAGTAGATACATCTGAAAAGAGAATGCTATTCGTGTTTCGTAGTTTTGAAATTTTTCAATTCATATTATAGCATGTTTATGTCGATTTTATTATTCGCAATTTAAAAGTAAATATTATTCTTGAGCTGTAATGTTTTTAATGTTATTCTAGCAAAGCTTTATCGAATGTGATAATTACCGTCGACCCAAACACATAATTTTGTCTTGATTTATAGCGATTGTCACCCCTTATTCCCTAGCTACTCCTTAGCCACGCCCTGTCCATGGTGATTGCATCAAAAGTTGAAGGAAGTTTTTGACGGGGAAAAGATTTGACCGGAGGAAGGCTAATGACTCTTCTGGACTCTTTATAATAATTTAGCCTTTTAATGTCGTTCTATGTCCTAAAAACTTGTCCAGCTTTTATGCAAGAAAATACTGCTTTTGTAGCATTTCTAAGCTCTCTCTGGTAAAAAATATAACAATTATTCAGAATTTTGCTAGATTCGACTATCGAAATCATTTCCGTAGGCCAATGGGGAACCCCAACACTGAAAGTTTCTACATGCATCGGAATGATGGCTGGAGTTTTCAGTTCAGTTATAGAATCAATTGGTGACTATTTTGCATGCGCAAGGATTGCTGGGGCACCACCGCTACCAAACCACGCTATAAACAGGGGCCTGGGAATTGAAGGATTCGGGTGCATCTTAACAGGAGCCTTTGGAACAGGGAATGGCACGACGTCATATAGTGAAAATGTTGCTGCCCTTGGGATAACTCGGGTATGTTTTCATGCTCCTTAAAGGGAAAAGTAGTCTAAGGCTCTAAGTCGTCCATGATATGCAATATTTTTGAAGAAAAGTTTTTGAAATTACACAGCATCAATTTTAGCATGGAAAATTAAACAAATATACACCAAATGCTTAGTTTTGAGAAAGGTTTAAGCCAAATTGCCCAATTTTGTGTTCTTGATAACAGACCTGGTACGATAACAGCAGGAGAACCATGCTTTGAGTTTGAATTTTAGCAAATTCGGGAAAATCTTGACCCACCAATTTTTTCTCACCCTTAGTCAGCAAACTTGCTCTTCTAGAGCACTAAAATGTGAAAAATACAGATATCATCAAAGTTAAACAAAAACCATATTTTGAAGCAACAAATGTTTTTGTATTAAGTTAACATAACATACATTTTTAGGTCGGAAGTCGGAGAGTTATACAGTTTGGTGCACTGTTCATGATTATTCTGGCTATCTTCAGCAAATTTGGTGCACTGTTTGTCACAGTCCCTGACCCTGTTATTGGAGGTATTTTCATCGCCCTGTTTGGTTTGCTAACTGCTGTGGGTCTTGCTCCATTGCAATTTGTTGACCTGAACTCAATACGAAATCTCTTTGTACTTGGCAATTCGCTGTTTTTTGGTATGGTATTGCCGTTCTGGTTGAAGCGGAATCCAGGGTCTATCAAAACAGGTAATACAAATTTATGAGGCGTTTTTAATGTAAGTTTAAATTTATGAGGCGTAAGTTTTCTCTAGTAACGGTAAGTATACTGTTTGACATTGCATCTGGCCTTTCATTTTCTGAACAAAAAGTGCCTGATTTTTTAATCGTGTATATTTTGCCTTTATGTGGTATTTGAAGGGCGGAAGAGAAATTTCACTACTACTGCTTAATCTCATTTATTAAGGAAAATGCAATTTATAAAGAAGGGTAGAATATAATTCACTTTTCGTCTTTTCCCCTGATTATTTCTTCTAAATTTTTTGCCAAATAATGATATTCTCAAAATCAAGTAACAAGTCAAATTCTGTTCGTTTCTAACAAAAAAGGAAGGGACAGGCTTGTTACAGGGCAAATCATAGCCTAATCGAAGAGCACTCAGTTGCCGGGGCAAACTTTTGTTTACATAATGAGAAGGACGATAGCCTATTGATAAGGACAGTGGAAAGTCACTGGGACTTGAGGGGCGATGCCCCCCACCCCAAGTTAGTATGTTAACAAAAATGCTGATGTAAAAATGTGGTATGAAACTACATTAAATTGGGGATGAAACTTTGATGGTCGTAACAAAAGAAGCAGCATGTTAAATTTTTGTATTTTGGAATGGTTTCTTATCTTCAACTCAGAAACCGTAGCTTTTTTAAGTCTTTTTGCTAAAAAAGCAAGCTCGTGGGTTTTAAGATGAACACTGTACATTAAACATTTACTTTACCTGAATACTCCGAACAAAGAAACAAAGAAAACAGCTACTTTTTCATCTTTTATTTTATATTAAAGTGTAGCTCTGGCCAATTTTCAAAGAAAAAATGCCATATCCAATATCTGGATATTGGCAACTATTGTAACATTTTTGAAAGAATTATCACTTTACGATGACACCCCGTGTCCAATGTTTATCAGCTGTCCATTATCCATTCTTTGCAGGATCGTCGAATTTTGACCAGGTGGTTACTGTAGTGTTGAGCACGAATATGGCTGTTGGGGGCCTAACTGGTTTTATTCTTGATAACTTGCTGCCAGGAACGTTAGAAGAAAGAGGATTAACAAAATGGAAGACTGCCGTGTCTGGTGACACTAGCAGTGAAAAGGGCATTGCATCAGTACATTGCTATGACATTCCATTTATCACTTCGTACTTGCAGAGGTTCAGATTAACAAAGTACTTACCCTTCGTGCCATACTATGGCAAAGACTGGGTTATCAGTAACCCTAATATTCCTAAACCATAACTCGTATGAATGTATAACAAATGGGGCAAAAGACAGGAGGGCACAGACGGAAGGGGGCAAGATTCCCTCTTGCCCTACGTAGATGTTTTTAATTAGTCAATTTAATAATGTTTCGGTTGCTGCATAAGTCAAATGTTGTCTTAGATTCTAATGAATTGAACGCCTATATTCATGGAAACATGTAGGAATGGCAACGCGTATTTGCAATATGAATATTTAAAGTGTTTTCTTTTTCATGGCTACTCAATATCAATTTCTTTATCTTTCCATTTATCTTGGGTTGAATCATCTTCCAATCTTTACCTGTTACTTGGGTAGAAAAATCTTAAAAATAAATAATTTAAAGTAGCAAAATTTTGCCAGCATTTTTTTGGGTTTTCAGTTATCAAGAGGACTGTTGAGGGCACACATGAGTGCAAATGTCAAAAAGTAATACCGGTTCAAACCAGGATTTGATCCTGGCAGAAATTAGCTATGATATTTTAGAATTGCCCAAAGAAAGAGGAGGGGGTGCAGCCCTCTTTTAAAAGTAGAAGAGGGCTAGGCCCCCCTGAGCCCCCTCTTCTTTAACTCTGGTCTCACTGCTTTGATAATAGCAATAACGTAAACGAAATACTATCTTTTGGTGCTACTTATTTGGACTAGGTCTATTTATTTAGCCCATCAGACCGCTCTATTAACTGGTCGATTTTCACCGTTGTAATATCAACCCAATATCGAAAGTGGGCCTAAACCCCTTCACATGAAAGTATTTTTGCAAATGGCTTTTGTAATTATCAAGGAAATGTATGACTTTCTGATGGCAGTACCTTTTCTCAATAGGCTTTTCTATTGTTTGAAGCTGTCTTCTTCTCAAGTTTGCCCTCTTGTTCTTCGAGCGTCCCTGTATAGCGGTGCTGTAACTTGCCTCCTTCATCAAACTATTTTGAAGTCCATGATGCATTTGAGGTAGTCTTACTGGTGACACTAATCAAGTGAAGTAAAATTATGATAATGTTTATCAATTGCTAGTATTCTTAAACCAATGTATCCACGTCCCCAATTTATCCACCAACCAATGATACTAATTCATCAATTATTAACACATTAAATTCCAGAAATACTGTACCGAACATCGACTTTCTATTTTTATAAGAATATATTTTATAAGAATATTGAGGCTTGAGATGATGAAATTTTAAATCAATTAAAAAAAAATGACTTTTTGCAAGAGGTTTGAAGAACACTCATCATCATCGTCGACCACAAATTTTCCTAGTATGTTAAAGAAATATGGTATTAAAGGTTTGTGTTTTTTTCCGATTCTTACCATATTTACGCATTGTGACATTGAAGAATGATTTAAGACTAATTTAATGGTCAGAATCACAAATTTGTAAGACTTTTGAGAATTAAGCATTAAGGTATTACAACAATGCCTTTATCTTACCATTTTTGTGTTTTTTTTCTCGGAAAACTGCAATTCTTGCACATCAAATTTGCTTACATTCTGTTCATGACGTTCAATACCCAGAGTAGCTTTTCCATTCATTTTCAAAGCTGCAGGAACAGTACCTTGTAGAACCTTGATAAGACAACATCCATGCCGTAAACTTTGGCTACAGTAAACCTCCGATAACTCGAACCTGGACCAATGAAATGGTTCGAGTTGTCGAATGTTCTAGAAGCAAGATGAATATCTGGCGGTTTGTTGTGACCCGGAATTACGAAGGAGACACTGGAAGCTTTGCAAAATCTATAAGTTCCATCAAGTCATTCTCAATCATGGAAGGTGCCATTCACTCTACTTTCAAGTTAGGGATCTGGAGCACAGGCCAAGTTAAAAAGTCGGGGGGGGGGGGGTATAGCCCCTCCCTAGCCCCTCAGCTCCGGTATGCCTGCTAGTGGATTCATTTATTGTTGTTATTCTTCCTGCTCATCAAAAACAACCACGAGGAAATTAGCCTTTATGGGCATCGATCAATGGTTCGAGGTGGCGAATGTGAGAGCTGTCAGAAATTCGAGTTATTATTTTCTTTTATTAAAAAGGTATCTAGGCCAAGATGGCCTCTAACCTAATTACAACATAAAAATAACAATAAAAGTTAATATAAATACTGCTACAACAACTTGTCAAACGTTAATATCAACTCAATTTTAAATAATACAACTTTTAATTACGAAAGCACGAAAAGATTAAACATACGCAGTATCAAAAAGCTATTTTACAGCGAAAAATCTATATAATCAACTAATAATTAGAACCCGGGGTTTGAACATCTTGGGAATTAGTACTGTTCTACTGTTCTTTCAATCTTGTTTCAAAGCATTTATATAGAAATGTGTCAACTAAATTGAGACATTTTAAGTCTTCTTGGCTTAATATCCAGATAAATTGATTCCAACTTGTTAGCTGCTTTAAATTAGGGGCTGTTCGTTGGAGTTCATTTAAGATATAGCACCTTTTATCAGCGAATTCTGGACACACCATAAGTAAATGAAATTCATCTCCTAAAACCCTTAAACCTGTCGCTAAGCAGAAACTGCAATGTCGTACTTCTCTAGGGATAGGGGTTTTTCCAAAACGGCCAGTTTCTACTTCTAGATTATGAGCGCTTAGTCTTAACCGTGAAAGGCATCGTCTTTTGTTAAAAACTTTGACAATGTCAGGACAGGATCTGAATTTGAAAACCGTTTTAACTTGAGCCCATGTACATAATTTCTTGTTTAGTACAACGTGCATTTTAAGCTTGTTCATTATTTCACTCGCAGAATGACTTCTAACTTTAGATTTTTTTGCAGCAGTGGTATTGTTGTGACTGATTTCATATCTGGTTTTCAATTTGTGGACTTTCTATACCCAGTTGGGGGAGCCATTTTTTGTGTCGTTCGAGAGCGCTTAAAATGATTTGCAAACGTACCTATCTGGTTCCAAATCAAGAAGGGTCTCAAGCCTGAACAAGAATTTTAAGATATTTATGTGCCTGTTACACTGAATGGAAATTCTGCCTACTTCAGCATAAATAGCCTCAGTGCAAGTAGTAGATTTAACTATTGTCTATGATTTAACTCCAAGTATTTATTTACAAGCAGAGAAAGTTATAGGGAGTTTACATATCTCTCCCTCTGCTCCATTCTGTTTCTGCGGAGGAGACTTTGCTTGAGTATATTTAACATACGGGAATGCGACTTTTTCGGTTGGTTAATGTCGTCCGCGTGTGTTTGTGGAAAGGAAAACGTTTAAGTGTTATAAGAGAAAAAAGTGGCGAAAATGGCGGTGTCAGCTGCACAGCTACTCGATGAACTTATGGGTAAAGATAGGAACAGAGCTCCTGGTGAGCCAAGCTCGAGGATGCATTGGTCAGACAGTGAGGTATGATGAACTAGGCCCATTCGGTATTGTGTTGGCGCCGACTCACTGTTGATTGCACCTTTGAAATAGTGTAGATGTAAGACAACTCAAGATATGGAATAGTTTATGACAATTTTATGGTTAAATTGGTAATGTTTTGCATTTGTTTTTAGTGTAAATAAGGCAAAAAATGCAACTTTCGTTGGTGATGCTCCTTTAAGGTGACGAAAGGAGTATGCTAACATGCCTTGTGATGTATTTGTCGTCCGACCATTTTAGTGATGCGAGTCTCCTTACTGTGAATGCTAAGACCATTAAGAAACATTACTTTGCGCTACATCCAGGGCAGACTTCCTTCCACTGAGTTTTGGGCAAATGCTTGCCAAGGAAAAGATTTTCAACAAAAAGAAGCTTGCTAATAGTTCCATGGTACATAAATGGCTGGAAGCGAAATCTATGTTATATATGTGTTCTTTTTCACACCTTTGTATCTATATTAAAATGTTTGGTTTGCAAATATTTAGCTGCAAACCTGGATGTTTTGAAAAAGTGCAGAGTTAGTACCAAACAGCTTGCAGAGAATGGTGGGCCAGGGTGGAATCCATTAGAAGCTCACGCCAGACATATGCCAATAAACAATAGTAAGACAATGGGAAGTTGTTAGTCTACGCCGGTTACTCTGGCATAAGCTACATGGATTCCATACTGGATGGTGGGTGCACCCAAGATGTTGTCATGGTATTGTTGAGGGTGAATGGAAAAACTAGATTTATTTAATTTTAAAAGAAAACCAATCTTGCACACCTGGCATTTTTGGTTGACTTTTGTGCATCAGCACCTGAGGTGCAAGGCTATTGGTGCACCCAATATCTTGTCAAATTCGGCCATACTCCGCAAAATGGAGTTGTAAATGGAGTCCGTAAATGCTTAAGTGTTCACTGGTCATGAAAAGCTCACAATGTAACCCTGTGTTTTGTGTACCAAGTAGATTTTCAGGTTGTACATGTACCCTTTGAGGAATATTTAAAACATTGCCTCAAAATGATAATTAAGTGCAACATTTGATTTTATTGATGCAATATTTTTTTCTTTATTTTCTTTTAAGTTGGTAAACATACACTACTAGCTATATTAATGCTAATTAAAACCAGCTAGATATATTAACAAAAAACCAAATTTAAAAATGAAACAGTAATGAATGAATTACTGTAACAGTAACAGTAAATGCATCAATGTACAGTAGGTTTCCTGTCATTTTATGTACCCCACTTGTCCTATAAATGGTTTACAAATGCGGCATGAGTAAGAAATCTCTGACATTGTTTTGATACTTGCTTTAAAGATTTTTATATTTGAGCTTGAGGTTATTTCTAGGGAAATGAGTTCCATACTTCTTGACATCTTTAGGATACAGTGTCTAATCCGTATGCTATAGTGTTTGGTTTGTTTCTAGAGAAAGTGAGCCCCCTGAAGTTATAAGATGATTCAGTTATGCTAAAAATATCTTCCATGAAACTTGGGTTTTCTTGATGAATAGTTTTGTACATTTCTGTTGCAAGTTGTTTTAAATTTCTTGTATGGATGGTCACCTTGTTGTCTTTGGGCAGTAGTTGTTCAAAACTAGATGAAAAATTGTTATAGGCTATTCACACGCCCACTCGCAAAAATTTGTGAGTGCTTTTTTCCACGCAAACCAATTTGCAGCAGCCCAAAATAAATTTGTGAGGGCTTTTTTCAAACTAACTTTATCATTCAATCTACCCAGTTTAGTTTCCCAGTGTTTGTACTACTTACCGCTAAATATCAGGGTGTTAGTAAATAAAGAGAAAGAAGTCTTACATGTCTATGTGCTTATCACATGTTAGCAAACTATTGTATTATCTGCTTAAACTTGCAATGGAATAGGAAATGTATTTGCCCGAAAGGAATTTACATATAGTGTGATTAATGCAGGCCTGGCCGTTTGAGGTGAGCTATGAATTGCTCTCCTAAACAGAACATGAAGGGAGAATTGCTCCCCTAAAATTTCCATTCATTTGCCCTTTTCCTATTCAGAGAACCCTGAAAACGTACAAGGGTTAATTGGTTTATTTTTGCGCCATGCTGTCAATACAATCTCTTTACAAGTCATGACATATAAACTAGGCATTCCCAAAAAGCCACATTTGACTGGCAAAACCTAAAAAAACTCTGCTATATTCCAAAAAAAGTTGTGTTTCTCTTTTTTTGTCTCGTTTTAAGGAGTAGTAATACAAAATTTAAAGGTAGAAATACACACAAAAACTCCTCCTTAAGGTGAATAATGTTAAAAGAATTGGCAGGGTAATGTATTTTTGCCTTTGTTAGTACCAAAATATATAAAAATCAACAACAGTTCTGCAATGGCTTAATAGCCCACGCAGCCAAACTGGCAAGAGCTTTTATAGCCTGCATTGTTTTTTCCCGGAGAGGCTTGGTCTTGAACTGGTCAACAAGATCAGACAAATGCCACTGTGGAATATGATTTTGAAGAAATAGCAATACACATGAAAAATGACACTGTCACACTATAGTTCACAGGACATGGCAACAAAAGTTAACATTCAATTCATTTTAGTTGTTTTAGCTAATAATTGTTATGCAGTCTTATGTTCAAATATTCAACAATTAAATTTTGAGTATTTATTAGTTTGATGAAAGACTAGAAGTATTCCATTGTCAGGACTGTACTTTGTTTCCAGAATGATCAAGTGTTTATTTACAGTCACAAGGCAAAGGGTGGCAGGATTGTTCATAATGTCTAACTATTGATTTCTATTCACTCTTTTGCAACCATTGATTTCTTTCACAAGGTTTAGGCTTAACATAATATTAAATCTATTTTCAGGTTTGCAAATACTTTCTGTGTGGCTTTTGTCCTCATGAGCTGTTTACAAACACCAAAGCAGATCTTGGTATGTTTCATTGATAAATGTATGTTTTTTTTAAATTTCAGAATCAATAATGGCATCTGTAAGGATATCTTCAATACAAAATACAACTAGTTCGCTTAATCAGTTATTTGTATATACAAATTATATGAATAAACAGATCAAGGAAGTTATAAAAAGTTTGGTTAATTTCATTAAAGAATGGTAAAAAACTTGTTCAAACAATGCTTAAAAACTGTCCATAGAATCAATTCTTTATAGGCTGTCTCCTCTAGTGTTGAAACAAAGTTGTCTTGCCTGTGTTAGCTGTCTTGCCTGTGTTGGCTGTCTTGCCTGTCATCAAGTTATCTTTGAAAAATTATTTTTTCTGTACGCTCTCAATTTTATTTTGAATTATATGTGTATAAATATTTTTAGGTTTGTCAGAAAATTTAGGAGTTGAACATTACCCTGTATTCAACATAGTGTTCAAGTATATATATATATATTTGAGTGATTGAATTGAAAAAAGTGATTCAACTTTCAACTATATTATTCTGAAGTTTATATCTTTATTCAGTTATAAAAAACATACAACTTTGATCCAATTTTTAGGTGCTTGTCCAAAAGCGCACGATGAAGCTCTGAAAAAAGAGTAAGTGTAAAGTTATAAATTTTTTTTTATAAAAATAACTGTTACCTGGTCTCTTTCCTGATAGAGAAAGATCTTCATGCTCCAATGTCCAGAAAAGATAATTCTAGTAGCACTGGATTCTCTCTTCAAGCATCTGTCCTAAATTATTTCAATAGTTTCCCTTTTTGTCTTTGTTATCACAGAATTTCCTAACCAATTAAAGTCTTGTTTATCAGTTGAAGGTACCAATAGGATTATATATTCAGACTCTTTATCATCTTTTTGAAGTTCTAGGCCCTTCTTAACAACAATAATTGGAATCATTTTATCAGCCTCTCAATATAGAAATTTAAGTCATGAAACTAAATATATTTGTTTACAGCCACTTTCTGAAAATTGCAACTAGCTTCTTTGCTAAAACATATCCTTCATTTCCCAAAATACAAATTCAATCTATTCAAGATATGGAATTCTTACATGCTTTGTAATTTCAGATATGAAAAGAGCAATAGAAGAGGATTAATGGGTTATGAAGAGACATTTCATAGATTTCTGCAAGGAATAATGGCAGATGTTGAAAGACGAATAAGACGAGGACATGAAAGGCTTGCCCTCAATGCTAAAAAAGAACAGGTACTTTTCGAAAAAATTGAAATAATCTTTCTACAAGGCCACTAAATGTTTAAAAGGCATTTGGTACTGTTATTTTTCAAACAAATCCTGTAAATCGATTGAAGTTTTGATTGGTGGTTGTTTTGCATTCAACCGATTGCCATAATTTGCATAACTTTCGATCACTCATGCATTTCTCTTTCTTTGAAATGGTGCAATACTTTTGATACCCTAGTGTATATGATTTAGGTTAACAAACTTAACCGTATATTCTTCCACTGCCTTTGAACTTGCATTCTATCTGCAGGCTTTAATCTAAGGGTTTTTCTTTATACAACCATAGCTTGGTAAAAATGAAATATGCTAATAAGATAGTAGATACTCAAGATAGTAATAACATCTCAAAATATGATGTAAAATTCAGCACTACACAAAAATGGCTTAAATTGCATCAAGGTGTGTGACATATTGAATGTCTAAGCAGTGAACTTGTAGTTATTTCATTGGCTGTAAATGCAATTCTATATTAACATCTTCTTTAGGAAAAAAACCTTGTTAATAATCAATTTATTTAGCCCATTTTTGAGCACTTGACTACATACAGGAATTTCATTTCAATTATATATGCAGAAGGCTAATTTTTATCTATTTCTTTTTAACTCTATTTATAACAATGTTCTGATATAGTTACATGCAAAATGCAAAATTCTGAAATGCAATGTTCTGAAATGCAAAATTCAATGAAATGCAATCTGCCGCAAGTTTATAGTTTTGCAGCATTCAAATATGCTTACTTGAAGTCTAAACAAGCTATATTTGAACTTTTTTTAGCAAGAATTGAAAACAGCAAAAGGAGATGATGACCAGCTCTCTATGATAACTGACCATATCAATCAACTGCTAGGCGAGGTGAGTCACATAGTGCCAATCTGTAAGACCTTTAGACTTCAAAAAGGAACATACTCATTGCTAAATTGTCCAATCATACAAAATAGTGAGCGCAAAATTCTGGTATTTCACATGGCACTGACTTTTTTACTCAGTTTTCTTAGACTTTAAAGGTAATGTGTCCAGCTAAAGCAAGCAGCTCTGCGGGAGTTTTCAGGAACATGTGATTTTTCATGTCATCTCCCCAGCCATTACCGGCATTCTGTTTATCTACCCTGCTGTGAGGTTAGCTTTTCATGTGAGCAGTTTTGCGTTGCAAGAATACTAACCAATCGCAAGCTGTTATTTAATGACTGGCTTGACAAGTTTGGCATAGGCAATTCTTTTGTATGGACACATTAACTTTAACCAAAATGTAAAGAGATTGAGTATTGGAAAACTTTAGTGAAGACTCTTGTTTACTGGTATGTAATTGAATGCTTATTGCAATATAGGCAGAGTTGTGAATGCTAAAAGTAAAAATTCTTTGAAAAATTAAGCCAACTAAGTACCAGACTCAAGCTTGAGTTATAGACATATATATGTCATGAAATGAAGTGTCTTTGAACAAAGTCTTGTTTATCTACAATTGCCTTAAAAAAGCTAGCATCATGTATGTTTTCCTTTCCTCTACTCTTGTATGTTATAGCTTCAGTCTCCTAGTATTTGCACAGTAGGAGCTTTTTGTGTACTAAAACATAAAATATTTATACTGCTTTATTTTATTTATGTGTGTAAAAATCAACTTGCAACCTCATAAGCACATTTATTTTAGATTGAAACTCTTGGATCAGAAGGCAAAGTTGAAGAGGCACAGGGAATCATGAAGCTTGTGGATCAACTGAAAGAAGAGAAGGAAACATTGATGCAGATGGTACTATCAAAATCATTTTAAACTGGTTTTTCTGAACATCAGCACTTCTCTATGCTGATTTTAATTGACAGTGAAATGCTCTGTCCATTTCAATGAAATAACCCCCTCAGATGACAGTGCCACATACCTCATCAAATGAGTTCTTGAGGCTACATTCCCTCATCATGGGATGCAACAAATAGCTACTGGTGCATCAGCGCAAATTGCTCTGTCCAACCAATTTAGAACCCTAAATCTTAACTATAACTTAATGGTCTCAAGTTGCAAATCAACTTAGATTTTTGGGCACTGAATGGACAAGAAAAATTCATTTTTTTCCAATCAGAGAGTTGATGCACCACTCCTATCTTGGATACCTAAGGTTTGAGAGCAGCAAAATAAGACTTACTAGAGTCTATTAAAAATATAAAGAATCACCCAGTTTTTGCCTGTTTGCCTAAAATAGATGGGATAATCATCCAATCAAAATGTATGAAACAACGTGTTAGCAATTAAATAAAAGTTTTGAACTTTGAGAAGAACTTGACTTTACACAGCTTTGTTCTAAAGTAGAAAATATTCGTATCAACGTTGTTTCAAATCTGTTCTTAAGCATCAAAATCTTTTCATTCTTTAAGAGCAAACTCAACCCATTATCATCCCAAGAGAAGCAAATGGAAGTCTGTGAGATCTGTGGTGCTTTTCTAATTGTCGGTGATGCACAGTCCAGAGTTGATGATCATTTACAAGGTAAACAACATGTTGGATATGCAAGAATCAAAGCAGCTGTTGAAGATATGAAGGTAAGTCTTAAGGCATCTTTTCTGTTGCTGAAACATCACAGCAAATATCGGAACCAGTCCCTACAGGTATTCTGTGCTTATATTTATCAGTAATTCAACAAAAATATCCAAAACTTTCCTATCACTTGTGTTTGTTGTTTAGCCCGTCTGTAGCAGTCAACTTCAGGTTTTGATTTACAACTTCTAGCAACTGCATGTCATCTATATATATATACTATGGATCTCTTCCTGCAGTCTAAAAAAATGTCTCTCCCGTTTTCTTTGTAAGTATTGTAATAAATGATGTACATCCAAATTTGGCACAAATATGTTATTTCTTGGACAATTATTCTGCAATGAGTAATAATGTATAAAATTTATTATTGTTGTATTTATACTTATCCTTATTTCTGTAGTCATTTTGCATTAAAAATGAAGATTAGTTTTATACGCATTTTTATACTTATGCCAAATTTGAATTTTTCCCAAGCATACGGCAAAATCTTTTAATTTTCATTGTGCAATTCTACTGCATCAAAGTGTTTGCATAAAGGCGGGCACTTACGTTGCACAGCCTACTTTTTCTCCGTTAACAGATACGATTAGGAAGAACATTATTTTTGTATTTAAACCATGAATAATGTGATTGTTCTAGGAACAGAGGTTTCCCGCCAGTAATTTATTAGGTATCCACCATTATACATAAACTTTATTATTTAAACTGATAAAGATTTATCATAAAAATCTCGTAGCATCATAAAAATGATGTTACTAATAAGAAATTTTAATGCATTACCATTTAAACAGAATTTTTTTAAATTAAACCGATTGAGAAATTCTATAAATCGATTGAGAAACTCTATAAAACCAGTCCGACAGAAAGGTGAGCGTTGATGCTTTGGTTGAGAGGTTGGGTTGAGGGCTTTCCTCGTGGAATCATGTCATTTCATTTTTCTACTTAATATTTCTACAGCATATATAACAAAGGTTGAGAACAGGAATGATTCATATTGTCGATGTTCGATTGAACAAGAGAAGAGTTAGCAATATGGCCTAGAGGTATTTTCAACGATATTTATGAAAGGAAACGAATGGAACATGAGTTTATTGGCTCCAGACAGTCTAATAACGTTGTATTTTCAATGCTTCAAGAATAAAAGCAGACTCAACTCTCTATTCAAGGAAACGTATGAGTTCGTTTTCTAAAACTGGTAATGGACAACTTTAGGGATTTCCCTCAAGAAAGTGCCTTATCAAAGTGCAAAATTATAAGTAATTTTAGGCCAAGTGTCCCAGCTGTCTCATGAAGACGCTTCTCCATTACGACCCTCTTGAGAACGGTTCTGTTACTTGAAAGTAAAAAGAGAATTTGTCCATGTTTGTGGGAAATATCAAAATACAGTGAAAATTTATAAGTTCATGTGGAACTTCCTCTACTAGCTGTTTAATCTGACTAATTTTGATAAGGCTTAAAAATGAATGAGTGTTTGCCAGTGTTTCCTTGAATAGAAGTTGTGTTCGCAGAATTTATATTTTTATTACATTAGATACATTATACATGCAAGTTTGCAGCATCTTGTCAAGAAAGCTGGTTGCAGATAAACGTTACCACTGCAAAGACTTAGAGGTAACGGATTTCTAAAAAGAAAATTTTTAGTAAGTCGGATTTTTTTACAGGAGGGCAAATGGCGGACGAAAATTCGTGAAGAAAAAGAAAAAAAGGAAAAGGGAGCAGAGGAAGGAGGTAAGGATTCAAAGGATGAAAAAGCCGAAGTTAGTAGTAGAAGCAGAGAGGGTTCCCGGCGTAAAGATAGGGAGCGGAGTAGGGATAGGAATCGTAGTAAAGAGAGGAAGGATCGCAATCGCAGCCGAGATCGTCGGCGAGACCGAGATAGAAGGAGAAGCAGGAGTAAGGATAGGCGAAGCCGAAGTCGGGAGCGTAGGAGCAGAAGTCGGGAACGTCGAAGCAGAAGTCGAGAACGAAGAAGCAAAAGTCGTGATAGATATAGGCATAGGAGCTCTCGTGATAAAAAGCGCAGCAGAAGTAGAGAAAGACGAAGGAGTAGGAGTCGAGATAAGGAGCGAAGAAGAAGCCGCAGCAGAGAAAGAAGCAGAAGAAGTCGAAGTCGCAGCCGAGAAAGGAAAAAGAGGAGCAGGAGTCGTGATCGTCGTCGTAGCAGAAGCAGGTCTCAAAGCAGGAGTCGAAAACGGGAGAGTGCAGAATCCGAGCGTTCTTATGGCAGAAAAGAGAATAGCGAGGAAGGAAATGAAAAAAGCAAGAACTCAGCTGATGACGTCAGAAACGAAGCAAATGGAGACACGGAAGCCATGCAAGAACAAAGCGATGATTAAGGAGGTAAATAAACTTTATTTGAACTAAGATTTTTCCCCGGTTCTTTCGTAGAAAAGGAATTTTCAGGGAATTAACAGAACGGGTTGCAGAATGTAATGTTACTGATGGCGGTCTCTAGAACCCCAATTCCCATTTGTGATTTAACTTTTGTTGCTGCGTTGTCTGCAGTAGCCTTTACCCCCGTTTCTTTTCATACTTGAGAAGACTATAGCACGTCCTAATTTCATCCAGATGGTACTCTTTTAAAAAGGTACAGTGACATTCAGTTTTTGAATGTGGTTCCTAGACCAGCATTGGTTTCCTATGCCAGTCTATCTCCGAGTTATTTGATAGAGTTTTGCCCCATTACTCTCTATATTATGTCGTATCGTTGGTTATGCCTTTCAGACCTTTTTGCACTTACATGTTTGTTTTGAATGCTGTAAGATAGCTACTCTCAGATGCCCGGTGAATAACGGTGGGCTAATTGTAAATGTTTGTCATTTCTCGTCTTGGACTGAATACGTAAGGCTGAACTAAGAAATGGGGAATTGTTAATTGTCATATACTTTCTCCAGAGACTGAATCAGGGACGAAAGCTGGAACATAACTGCTAAAAATTCGTTCTTAATATGAAAGTCCCTCTCAGATGACATCGCGAAACAGAAAAGCTACACCCTCGTTTATCTGGCATCTGTGAGTTGGAACCATAGGTTTGCTGGTGGAGTTCTGACAATACCTAAAGTCGTTTGTATCACATTGACTGGGCAGAAACTTCATGCTCGTTTCATTTCATAATGATTTGAAAATGTCTTACGAAAGAAACTTTAATGAATAAGTTACTGAATAAATGAAATAATCATAGTCCTATTTTGTTAAATCTTAACTAGTACTTTGATTTAAAGACAGAGAAGAAAATTTGCGAAGAGCAGATGAAATAAAGGACAAGCTGTGTGGACCTGAAATCGTCTTGAAAAGCCCTCGCGACGGCTTCTGAGATGCGCCTTCGATCCATAGATTTCATTGTTATTATTTAAGCCTGAAATTCCTCTTTGGTTGCTAAGATAAGCTAACGTTTCCACAATGTCAGTTTCCCGCCTTAAAATTAATTAGCCGATTAGGACCCAAGACTTGTCTGCTAGGATTTTTATGTCTTGCATTTTCCCAATGCTTTGTCCACTCAAAGTTACCATGCTTGGCTTTTTCAAGACGATATTCATGTTGCAGTTTTGTCAAAGAATTTTTTGATGTTGTAGTGTCAACTTTTTTAGTTCACCCTGATTACAAACTGTAATGTGTTTTACTGATAATAACGATTTCTTCGTAACGTGCACTTTATTGAAAAGAGTTCTAGGCGAAAGACAAATCGTCATTTTATCCTCTCGCTCTCTTGTCTTCACTGCTGTTCAGTATTTCTTGGGAGTTTTAGACACTTGTGGACGATTTAGTCGCAGAAAGCAGCCTCGGGAAAGGTCACAAAAAGCTGTTGGGTATATCTGATAGTATGCTTCAGCAATAATTTAAAATGAATTCTGAAGAATTGATCACACGTGGGTATTATTAAGTATTAAGACACAGACGAAGGTTTGTGTGCTAATTACAAGCTAGTACGAATATTTTATACCTTAGTTATTTGTTTTACGAAAAAGTGGGGGACATGGCCCTATATTTTAGAAACCCTAGATGAAAAGAATGAAACAAGTCCACAGTAGTGAATTTTGCCAAATCAAGCTGAATCTTGTTTAACTCAAATTGCTTCTTCAAGATTTGAAAATTCTGATATACAGTCCAGATTTTTAAACTTAAAGATACTGGCGTTTAGTCCCTGAGTTTGAATCAAGGGATTTTAATGGCAGAATAAATATATAATTTCTCCAAGGACTTTTTCCCTCTTTCACGGATTGTTTGAAGTTTCTGTTTCGTTCAATACTCAATTACTTCTTGAGAGTGATTTAGTTTTAATGTCTTTGATAAACTTTATTTTGATGTCTTTAATAAACTTCAGAGTGATTTCAACATCTATGATTGCTAGCAGATACTTATAACTGTTATTATTGTTTTCGAATGGTCGTAATATTTATGTCGACAGAGTTCGCTGTCTTTTGGAATCAGTGAGATAAATGCTTTTCATTATTTGTCTAAAGTTTTACTTCTGCCAACGACTTATCAAATTGATGGGTTTTAACGAAATTTTGGAGTCAAAAGTTTTTTCGCAACTTTATTATTTCTTTATTGCCCATTTTGAGTTCTAAAGTTTCTTAATTGTTACTGTCTGTTCCAGAGGCGGATCAATGCACAGTGAGTTCCTTGGTGCACAGAACTCAGTCAGTTTTTCAACATACAGTTAAAAATAGTGTTGCCTGAAACAATCAATATTTAAATTAAAAAATTGAAACCGAAAAATTCTAAAATCTCAAAATTAAGATCTTAAAATTGCCCTTCTCTGTCGTGATTTGGAAACGACGCTGTGGAGGACAACAGCAGTCAATCCTGGAACTCGGAAATAAACGTTTTGTGCCTCGGAAGTGAATGAATTGAAACAATAAACTTTTTGTAGCAAATATGAAACACCGCAATACGCCGAGAATAAACAACAACAAATACACGCAAATCATTAAAGGCTAATATTTCGCTCCGGCATACGGGGTTTCATCAGAGCAAAAGTGAATAAACTTTTTGTTTGGAACACGGATGGAACTCGGTCAAAACAGCATCTGCAACTTTAAATTGTAGTCTTTAATGGCACGGAAAACCTATGCTCAGATGGAACACCATATTTTGATGAATAGACTGGTGTCTACGGAGGCAAAACAACGAATTGCGAGCAAAACAAAAGGGGAAAACTTTGCTGTGACATCTAAAACAAACAAAGGGGATTGAGAAAGGGAGGGGGGGGGTTCAAACGTTTTTCACAGAGGCGCTGTTTTTTGCCGGAAAGAAATTTAGAATCTAGATTTAATGAGTAAATTGTACCAACCCAGGCGCGCAACTACGGGGGGGTCCTGGGGGTCCAGACCCCTGCCCTTTTTCTCAAAAGGGGAAAAGTGCCATTTTTCTTGGAAAATTGCTTGAATATTTTGATTATTACGCTAAAATGGTTGGTCATACAGTAAATGACACACTCCGGAGATGTAATGGACCTCGCAGGAATACAGATAAATGATTTAGTCAAACTTTCGCGCACTTGTTGGGTCGAACGTCATCATGTTGCAGTAATAGAGTATATCTTCAAGCCCCAACTCTACAGCGTGTTTTAAGATGCGTCACGCACTGGCTTTGAAGAAGAATGGTTCTGGGACTCAAAAACCAAAATAAAGGCACAAGATTTTGAACGGGATAGAGCCTCTACGACCTCTGGTAAGAGCTTGTAAGAGCTTGTTGGGTCGACCAAGACATTTTTCAAGCCTGTCACATAGTTGACAGGGTCATAGAAGACCTTTGCATGAAACGAGCGAATGCAGAGAAATATTCGCGGACTGGTATTAGAAAGCAGTAAAGATGGCACAAAAAGTTGATGTTCAGCTGTTCCGTTCCTTGTCAGTATTACAAATCAGCTGAAAGCAAGACTTGGAGACAGAAACCAGCTGAAGGCAAGGCTCGTGGAACTGTTCAACCTACTCCCACTGTAGTGCGAAGCAAAGAATTCAATAATAATATTTCAAAGAGCAAAATGTCTTCGGATATGGAAGATGATGGGCTGCTATTCAAAAGTGAGCTGGCGCTGGGAAAAGGAGATGACAGCAGGGTCGCCGAGAGGGGGACAAAGGGGCAAACTGCCCTAGGGCCTCGAGGTCTAGGGAGCCTCACAAAGCAATGAATTCCGTTTTTAAATGGAATTTATTAAAAGTAACAAAATTACAATTAAAAAGTAAAACATCTTAAACGAATTAGTGAATTTAAGCTATTTGCAAGGGTGTGGTGGCAAAATTTTTGCTCGCTTCGCTCGCAAGAGGCATTGTTTTTTCCATTTCCCCCTCCCTCGGGCCTCCTAAATTTCTCGGCGGCACTGTACGGCAGACAGAAAGAAGTCATATGCATAGTTAAAATTAAAAGGAAAAAATAAATCACACCTCACCACAAAATAAACCGTACACCACAACTTTTCTCTATTGATCAGTTTCCCTTGTCTGGCGTACAATATTTACAGATTTACTAACTGCTCATATTTTCGCGGTTCCTAAACAAATGCCCCGGTGGACCTTTAATGAAATTTAATTAGTGCCCTTTTTGTGTCTTGGACCCCTGCCCTCTGAAATTTCTGGTTGCGCGCCTGCAACCCCTCCCCCCCCCCTCCTCAAAGGTACCGAAATGGATAAATATGAATAATAATGTTGTCTTATGCACAATGATCAATGCATTATCTGAAAGTCCCTAGCCTTGGCCTGGAATTCAGTCAGGTTTTTTGCTGGATCCGCCTCTGTGTTCAGTCCAGCAAAACGAGTGCAGTTCAATGAATGGTGGTAATAAAGTCACGCCCCCAAAATTACAGTATGGCCCATCTTCGCAAATGAGGCTGCTACAGGGAGTTGAGGTTACTGAATCGTTGGCCTAATCTTGTAACTTGCCAGCGTTTGTGTCACTAGTAAACCTTTGTAAGAAAGGAAAATGTTATTCTGTTTTTTTGTATGTGAGAATACTTCAGTTGTCCTCCCAAAGCAGGTTGGCTCTGTTCTGGAATTGTGCAGATTTTATGTTAACTAGCTCAAAAATTGAGATGGAGGTTTTTAGTTACTTCATGCCAAACGGCGTTTATTGGCGAAACCGAGATGTCAAGCAAGCCTTGTGTTACTTATCGGTAATATGTCTTGTCATGATTGGAATTTTCTTCTGCTTTTGGCCAAGCTCATCTGCTACAAGTAAAGAGCACGTTAAAGTGCGAATGGAATCGAATGACCGTGGTAACAGTTTGGATAGGCCTGCTTGTGTCGCCCGAGATGTTGCCCACGAAGCAGGGATAGAAAACTGTGCTGACAACCACGAGGAGTTGTCGAAGCCGTTAGTTAGTCACAAGTGGATCGAGTTTAATATTGCAATCATTTCTGATTTGGATGAAGACAAATCTAAAGTTCCTGGGAAAAAGAGCACCTGGAGAAGTTTCTTCAAAAAAGGTGTTTTGAGAAAACATTTTGATGGAAAATACTCTGTTGAATGGAAAAAAGAGAATACTGTACTAACATCAAAAATTTCAGAAAAAGGAAGGGGGCTAGAGCTGTCAGAACTTGCCATGTTTCATGGAAAACTATATACTGTTGATGATCGCACTGGAATAGTGTACCAAATAAAGGATGGGAAAGTCATTCAATGGGTCATATTGCCTGATGGTGATGGCTCTGTTTCAAAAGGGTTCAAAGGAGAATGGATGACAGTTAAAGACAACACACTGTATGTCGGTGGTCTTGGGAAGGAATGGACAACGCCAACTGGAGAGCTTGTGAACTTTAACCCACAGTTTGTGAAAAGTATTGGACCATCTGGAGATGTTGTCCATCATAACTGGAGAAATGTTTATGAAAGAGTCAAAACTGAACTAGGTATTGTAAGTCCTGGCTATGTTATTCATGAAGCTGTTACGTGGAGTAGTGCCAAGCGACGATGGTTTTTCCTTCCAAGAAGAGCAAGTCATGAGAAGTATGATGACCAATCAGATGAACGTAGAGCTACAAATGTTTTGTTATCTTGCAATGAAAGCTTTGAGGATTTCACTGTGGTCAAAATAGGAGAAGTAATCCCAACACATGGCTTTTCATCATTTAAATTTGTTCCAGGAACCAATGACAATATAATTGTTGCTTTGAGGAGCGTAGAAGATGCAGGAAATATAAGCACATATATTATGGTTTTTAAAGTAGATGGGACAATTATTTTGGATGAAACATTCATCGACAATGATAAATTTGAGGGAATTGAGTTTTTATAGATTTCTTATTGAAGGAAAGCATGTGTCAAAAATTTATTTGTAAGTGATGTTTTTGGTGATATAAATCATTGCAAAACTTGGATAAGAATAGATTGAAATTCTTCCAATTTTCTTCAAAAGTTATCCACTCTGCCCTTTCTTTATTCATTTTTCGAAATTATAGTTTTAAGATTTAAATATTATAATTTCCCAATAAAATAATTAATCCCTACAATCTAATGCAAAGGCAAATTTTAGTCATAACAATTGAACATTTTCAATATATTCCTCCTATGAACACCTTTCACACCTGAGTTTTTATTTTTCAACAAAGGAAGTCTTTTACTAGCTATTTATTGATTGTACTAATTTGTCACAATTCTCTTTGCCTGCATGCAGACTTTAAAATTTCCTATGAGAAATAGTACTTTTCCCATAGTCGAGTCTGCACACAGGCTAGCTTCTTCAGTTTCAAGGACCCTCGAAATTCAACAAATAATAGCCAATGAAGAGAGCAAGATTTTTCCTTTCTGCGTCTTTACTGTAGGTCTTTTATTCTGCTTATTCTTTTGGGATACTAGTTAAGCCTATTAAACCTAATAATTTTTTATTTGTCTGCTTGACTTGCTCTTCACCTGATTGGAACTTTTTTATATATCTATCATCAGTTTCATGATTTTAAACTAGGTACAAGTCAGAAAAGAGAATATCAACTTTCTGAAGACCATACCATATTGCCTTGCTTTTCAACTCAACATCGTTTTCTTAAAAGCAGTATATTTATTAGTGTGCCCTCTTTTTCAAAGAAACGCCCTTTTCACCCAAAAAGGTCCCTTTTATTCCCTAATAACACAAACAATGTTCCTTTTCACTGTGCCCTACTTCTTTTGACTCATTCCTACACGGCCCTTGTTTCAATATGGGTTGCAGCCGCATGCGCACGCATCCGTTTAACCAGGGGCGGATCCAGCAAAAAGACAACATTGTGCATAAGATAACATTATCATTCCTATTTATGCATTTTGGTACCTTTGAAGGGAAGGGGGGGGGGGGTAGGTACTATCTACTCACTATATCTAGATTCTAGATTTCTTTCCGACAAAAAACAGCAGCGCCTCTGTGAAAAATTTTTCAACCCCCTCCCTTTCTCAATACCCTTTGTTTGTTTTGGATGTTACAGCAAAGTTTTTCCCTTTTGTTTTGCTCGCAATTTGTTGTTTTGCCTCCGTAGACACCAGCCTATTCATCAAAATATGGTGTTCCGTTCTGAGCACAGATTTTCCGTGCCATCAAAGACTGCAATTTAAAGCAAAGGTAGTTAACACTCCTGGAAAATTAACGACATCCCCTGGTTTTATCTCAAACGCTTAATAATCTGCTAGAATGCTGCGATGGTCGTGAGTATGAGACATCTGCAGTCGCCATTTCGAAGTCAATGTTTTGCAGTTCCACAATAGAGCAGAAACAATAAGTACGGGCCAATAATCAACTACTTGCCATTGTACAGCTCTCTTACAAATATGGTATCATTTCCGAGTTTCAGATGCTGTTTTGACCGAGTTCCATCCGTGTTCCAAACAAAAAGTTTATTCACTTTTGCTCTGATGGAGCCCCGTATGCCGGGGCGAAATATTAGCCTTTACTGATTTGCGTGTATTTGTTGTTGTTTATTCTCGGCGTATTGCGGTGTTTCATATTTGCTACAAAAAGTTTATTGTTTCAATTCATTCACTTCCGAGGCACAAAACGTTTATTTCAGAGTTCCAGGATTTACTGCTGTTGTCCTCCACAGCGTCTGGAAAATCGTTTCAAAACACAACAGAGAAGAAACTGGCAATTTTTAGATTTTGAAGAGACTGTGATAAAACTTAGAATTTTACTTGTTTCAGGCAACACTATTTTTAGCTGTATGTTGGAAAACTGACTGAGTTCTGTGCACCAAGGAACTCACTCTGAATCTGCCTCTGGTTTAACTTCTGATGAAATCATAAAACTGACCTGAATTCAGCTGTTCTATGATTTGATTGGTTTACTTTGGTATTCTTCACTTTGATTGGTTTAGACTTAGCAGCTAGTACTTTGTTGGTTTAGACCAAGCTACTTGTACGTTGTTGGTTTAGAAATGAAAATGAAAAACTTATAAAAGTTGCTAATGGGTACAAGTACCTTGGAGTTTGGCTGGAAGCAAAATTAAATATGAATAAACCCCTATGAATTAATGAATGAATAAATGAATTAATGAATGAATAAATGAATGAATGAATGAATGAATGAATGAATGAATGAATGAATGAATGAAAGTATTAAGAAAAGCAAATGCCCGAATGAAGCTGTTGTCCCGTGTGCGTGATTCACTGTCGGTTTTTGCTGCTAAGGCGGTATACAATTCTTTCATTCTACCAACTATTTATTAGTTATCTTTAAAATCCTGTTGTATTCACACAACAATGCTTTACTGTTCAACGCCAGTTATCAAAGTTTTCTGATACAATGATGAAAAATTTGAAAGTGTACAAAATAGAGCGCAAAAAGTTATATATGGATTGCAGGCAGACAACAGATGTGGCCTTATTTCGATCAATAATAAAAACAGATGAAAGCTGACATACAGATGTTCAAATCTCATCAAGGAACTTGCATGTCAGCCCTCAGAATTTACCCAGACAATGTTGACCATCAACCCAAGAAACAATAAATCATTGTTTAGACTGCCTTTTGTTAAAACAGAAACTGCGACAAGATCTTTTTACTTTCAAGAACCGTACTGTTTTAACGAACTTCCACGAGACATGCGTTCCCTGAAATCGCTTGTTATTTTTAAATACAAGTTGAGAGAACATTTTTTATCGTAAGAGAAATTGTAAAGTAGAGAATAATTTTAAAGCTTTAATTTCAAGATTCTGATTGTAAGTAACTCCTTTTTAAAGTTTAGGTTTTTCTTACATTGTATATGTTTAAAACAGGGCCCTTATTGATAACAGCACCTTTGTTGCTGAAAAGGCAACCCTGTATAAATAATTATATTATCACTTTTATTGTTACATAGACTCAGGACCGTCTCTAGTTACAGTACACAAGGCCGTGCTCAGGTCCCATTTGCCGATAAAGTGGGCAAGCCATCATTTACTCGTCAACAAGTCTAAAAATTTTCCAGCAAAATACCCCCATGGGGCATGGAAAAAGACCACCATTTTTGGAACAAAGTATTTTCTAAGGGGTAGGGGGTCATACCCTTCCATGCCCCACCATAATGATAAAGTTAAGCTGCCCTCGAGGCATCCTGTTTCTACGGACATACATAATACCTATGGACAAAATCCTGTTTCTACGGACCAAATCAACATTATATTTTAAGATTTGAACCATCTGTAATTAAATTTCTTCTCACTTTCTAATCTCAGTAGAATAAGGGGTTATTTCGAAAACATATTGAGAGGTTTCTTTAAAAAGGTTCATGTTTTGTCTAGCTTCACAAAGATTTTATGCTGTATTCAAAAATTTTCTAAAGAGCAAGTGGACTTATTTAGAATGGTCTATCAAAATTGAACGTTGCTTTTTATCAAAGTATGTTTTCCTTTATGTTAGATTTTGGTGTTTCCAATAAAGAAATTGTTTAAGCCTACAGATATCTGTCAGTTCTTTTTGTTGCCAAGGAAGAAAAGTCTTCTCAGTGACGTGACGGATAAAATGCTTTTTTTTAATTTTTTTTATAAATATCATCTTGGCTTACTGAGTTATTCAATTTCTGCTTACTGAAAAAATATGCACTTGCTGATTGTTATTTCGAATTAATCTACCTATTCTTATGGCCAGGGAAGGTGGGATGCGTCTTTCTAGTTCTCGGCAGAACCAATTTTGCATTGCGTCTTAATTCAATGATAAAGTGTTAAGGGAATGAGTAATAGTTTGTTGTATGTTATTCAAGATTCTTAAAGTGCCCTTGCGTAGCCAAAGCATGGTCATGGGCATTCTTTAATAGTAAAATGTCATTTCCTGTTGGTGAAAGGCCCTTTTTCTGAACTTAAAAAGTACGCTACCATATTCTTGTCTTTCATTTTTTAAGAGAATGATTAAACAATAGAGGTGGTTTCATATTTTTTGATTCGCACTATTTCGAACATTTGTTTGTTTTAAGGCCAAGTACACACGTTATTTCATAAGAAAGTTTTTTCAACCCAGTACTCAAACTGTCTTAGCTATTTCCCGATTTCAGTACTAAAATTTTTTTAAAGCTTTCGTAATAAAAGTTGAAAAGTTTTATATTAATTCGCATGCGCAGTGACAGAATAAGTACATTGCTATAACTATATAGTATATATATGGTATTAATAACATTCTTACCATCACCTATTGAAGAAAACCCTATAAACAGACGCAATGGGTATAAACTAATTATGAAAATTCATGAACAAATAATTTCAACACCATCTGTTTTTATAGAGACACTTGCGAACCTTAGGAATTCCCTTTTCTGCACATGATAGTCACAAAACTAACAATACTGCGCTTGCATGGCAATTTCTCTTTGAACTAGTGATTACCTAAATTTTTCAACTTTTATAGGTTTCAAAAATCCAGTATTGAGCTTTTTAACTATTTGAAGAGCTGAGTATTACTTTTTTAAAAAGCTCTAATTTTTATAAACAACGTAAAGACAAGTTGTCTTCATTTAAAAGAAGAATCTTATAAAATTGCTCTTATGTAAAAAAATTGTAATAGAGAATAATTCGATCTAATCTGCTTCCAAGAAAGCCTGGTATTCGTCGAGTATATATATATTTATGTTCCTCCCTCCTTCTCTTCTCGTCAAATTTGCCTGTGGTATTAATCGAATGCCGTTACTCTTATTTGCTTCAGCTTTGCTTCTTTGCACGAGAAGTGTCTTCGATAGATAAACATTATCATTGTATGCCCTTAGATTGTTTTACATGCGGCTGCATCACGACGCACTTGTTTGTCAAGTGCAAGCAATATTTTATTTTCTTCGCACCTTATTGTTCAATTTGATTTATCAATTTTGCGAATCTGCGGCAAAATTCTGATAAGATAATATGTAAAAAATTGCTCTTTGATGTTTGTTTGGTTTAGACATGAGATATTGAGGTTGCCGGTATCTTTGCAGTAGAACATCTGCAAGGACTTTGCCTCTTCAACCAAAGAAAACAACAAGTGTCATAAGATCTATGGCTCCTGATATTCAATAGCACTCATTCTTGTTTGGATGGTCTTGATTTGATCACACGAGCTCAAAGCGTAGGAAGGAAAAAGAGAGTGACAGGGTGCAGTTATTTTTCCCAAGGCTAATTTGTTAACAATGTGTTTGGAAAATTAAACATGATCCTATATCTTTGAAAATGCTATTTTGATGCCTTTTGACTACAGAATGTTTATTGTTACTAAATAGTTTTATGTAAAAACTTTGCTTATCTTTAGCCATTGATATGCATCCCTATAACCCCTTTCTACTTCTATCACCCCTGAAAATTATCTGCAAGATGGGACTTGACCCTTTGCTTTTGGAAATTATGAATGCACTTTTGAATACCAATGTTTACTGCAACCAAATAGGTTTATGTAGAAAATTTCTCATTTTTAGCCATTTTTTTTAGAGTCAATCAGTTCCGCAAGCTTCTTCGAGGCAAGATTCATTTAGAATGTTTCCTCGCTATGCTCGTACAAGCAAAAGAATGAATCTGTGAATAAAGAAAAGTTCACGAAAGCAATCTGCTCGACGGACTCCAAAGGATTCTTGCAGCGAGAAATTGATGAAAATGTAGCAAATAAGAAACACTGCAATGCGACGAGAATGAACAACAATAAATACACGTAAATTGAAGAAGGCTAATATTTCGCCCCGCATACGGGGCTTCATCAGAGCAAAAAAACTTTTGAATGATTAAGAAACTGAAGTACTCGTTGTAGCAAATGAAAAAAGTTGTTAAGAAAGCAGAAATCCGAAAAATTTCTTGACTTTCAACCAATGTAATGAAATAAGTTGCTATAATATGAAATAAAATCGTTTCGTAGGATAAAATATAACACAGAGGTACAGGCAAAATTACACGATTTTACCCTAATGCTAAAATTGATGTTATTAGAACAAAGAAGCTCTTAAGAAACAACGAGTGCTGAAAATTGCTGCAGTATTAAGGAGCTTGAGTATTCAATATGGTCATATAAAACACCCAGTGTATCCTATTTGCCAACATTCAATGAAATTGCAAAGCAACGCGGCGTCTTATCATTTTCGGAACACTTTCAAATGGAATCTTGTCAATAGCAAGTTTTTGAAGGTATCAAAAATGTCTGCAAATATTGTTATGGAACTTCCAACTTTGATAGAATGCTGTTATTTGTGTTTGGGAGTTTGGCCTTTTTATTTCAGCATTTTCTTTTATATTTTCTATATTGATTTTGCGCTTTGTTTAAGGAACCATTCGTTTGGATTTTTGGTCTTTTAAAATTTTAAAGGTGCTCGGTCGGCATTGTTGCAATAGTCAAATGTTAGCTGCTCGTTTAGAGTCACCGAGACCGCTTCTTGTTAATTGATCGAACAATATTGTGGGATTCTCTATGACTTTTCTCTTTTTCCTTGTAGTTAGGATATTTTGCCGAACGGGATGATCAACGAAGCTTATCTTTTAGTTATCAAGATTCGAGTAGGTGTTGATTGAAGAATGTAGTAAGCATTCGAACAGTTGACAACGCCCATCTCGAGACCAGGAATATCTTATCACACTCGCTCCTGCTGTTAAGGAGCACCTACTTATCAACTGATAATATTATTGATTATCGCTAAGCAATAACGATGGAGGTGTACAGAGTGCATCATCCTTAAAAGTAGAAAGTGTGCTTTTCTGAAATAGCAAAGACACTTCTGTTAAAGAACAATTTGAAAAGGGTTTTTTGAAATCAAAATGGAACTTCTTCAATCTTCTATTCATAAATGTAATGGGTATATCCGGTTGACCGTAGCACCATATAGATTACCATGGCCAATTTAAACTTCATTACAAATGAAAAACTTACTTTATTCAGTTCGCGTTATGATTTCATCGAACTTATTTGGCATACCTATTGCAAATGCGCTCCAGCTTTTGTGATAGCTCAACTCCGTATTATTGTTTTGTGCAAACAGGTGCTCCGTTGCAAAAGATATAAATCAGAACATCTGCATTCAGCGAGTAATTCAGTCGCGCGAGAATGGACTTCAACATCACTTGTAGCAGCAATAGCAGCATATTGGGTGGTGACAATTTCAATGGCTCATTTCCATGTTCCAATGGAACTGTTGTGCCAACAAATGCCAGCAGCCTTGTTGGCGGTGGGTCAGCCCCGCTGGAGATCAAAGGTGCCACAAAATATCTCTGCTATCTTTTTTACAGCCTTGTCTTTCTCTTTGGTGTTGGTGGCAACATGATCGTGTTTTACGTGATTGGCTATCGCAAGAAGAAACGGGCTGGCAGCGACGTATACATTTTATCACTGGCACTGGCTGACCTCTTGGCATCAGCTTTCATTCCAGTTGTCATGTTGAATGATCTGATCTCAGATTTCTCAAAATGGTACTATGGAAAAGCAATGTGCTATGTTTTTCCTGTCATTACTCCCACAACCATGGTGGTATCTGCGTGGTCGCTGGTTTTAATCTCCTTGGATAGATACAGGTATGCATTTGAAATTTCAATTTCCTAAAACACTTCATTACATGTTGATTAAACATATGATTTTTATTTTCTCATCAGTTTCTTGATTTTTAAAGTGGGAAACCATGAAAACGAAGTTAATCATATTTAAAACAAATGTGTGACGAAGCGACCTGAATCAAGCGATATGAACTATTAAAAAGAATACCAAAAAGCACACGATAACTACAGTTTCCTTTTCCATCAATTCACTTTTACGTAACTATTAACTCTTAACTCTTCTACCTCTACTTAACTTTTTACTCTTAGGAATCTTTGGTATAGTTACAGCATAGGGTAAACTATAGACAATCGGATTTGCATGTGTAATAGACACGTAACTTTTCCGGGATTGTGTTAATTTAAAGTCAAACAGGGATTTTATAAATGCATGGAGCATTTAATAAAATGATGGAAGGTTTTTATTGATACCATAATAGCCTTAGCAGTGATTTGCTGGTGGCAAATTACTGCTTTGTGTCTTTCTAGTCAGACTGCTGGATGTAAACACGTAGCCAGCCAATGCTAGCAAGACAATGCAGCTTGCAATATTTCAGTTTTTTAGAGGCATCACAGATTTCGTTGCAAAAACATCATATTCGGGGAGGGAAGGATGAAAGGCGTTGACTACTCAGTTACTTTCCATTCAGTATCATGTCATGCAGGAATTAGCACATTTTAGCCCTTTTGGGGACTGCAGCCCGCCCAGCCCCACCTCTTTCGACTGCCCCCCAATTACATCAAACCCGCTTTGTAGAGTAAGAAACAAGACAGAGGTGCCCAAGTAAAAACGCAAGAAGCTTGACAATGCTTTATGCTTCTTCTCGGTGTCAGAGAGTAATAACCTGTTTCTTTTTTGAAAATCTATCTCAATAATCATGGAACACGTGAATGTAAGTTTGCTTGAAAAAGAACTCGCTCGACCAATCAAAGACCCGTATAAAACTTTGAGGTCTAGCAAGCGAGGCATCTACATACCCGCTTTAGTTACACATTTGCCTACAAAACAAGGCCGGGAAGTGTTCTCTTGTTCCTCAGCGTAGTTGTCCGAAGCTTTCCCCCTTTAAGCAGTGCAAAAAATGGTTTAACTTCAGTGTGGAGATCGCCCCTTGAACTTTTCAATAGAGTGCTATAGAAAAGAAAAATTTTGCTTCAAATGATAGCATTTCATCCTGCTGAAAAAGCGGGGACCATAGTCCCCCTTGCTGTGACTTCTGCAGTATGTTTCATTTCTGAATCATCACTCTTTCATTCCTTTTTGATAAAATTCCTGGCGTTTTCTAAAGAGTGCAGCCATCATATTTTATAGGATTTTGTAGACACTTCATTTATATTCCATAAATGTTTCTTCACGTGAATTAACCTTTTCCTTGTTGTCTTTTCCTAGGGTCATTTTAAAGCCGATGGCCCCGAAGCCTTCTGCAGTCACTCTTTATTGCTCTGTTATTTCCATATGGGTAGTTTCAATTTGTATCAACATACCATATCTCCTGCGTATTGAATTCGTCAACAATATGTGCTGGGATTCAAGCAGTCATTACATAAAACCAAAGGAGTTTATCATATATGCTGGTTTTTGGGTGTTTTTCATTTGGGGCATTCCAAACATCATCATGATCGTCGTTTACTGCCTTACCGGAGCTGCGCTCAAACGCAACACCCTAAAGCATGCCAATAGCAAAGCAATGGAACAACGTAATAAGCAGAATAGAAATATTGTCAAAATGTTTGCCATTATCGTCATCATATTTTTCCTGCTTACCATGCCATACGCACTCTTCTATTTTGCTGGAAGCTACCTTATCTTGTACGATCCAATGCCTGACGTCAAATTGATTTACACTTGGAATTATTTGCTGTTTTTCTTGGCCTCTGCAAATGGCTGCATTAACCCATTGATCTATGCCAAAATGCACCGCGATGTGAATGGATTTCTAAGATCTGTTGCTACTCGTTTATCTGGTTGTTGTCGCTCTACTAGCTCCCAGGCAAGAAATGAAATGTACAAACCATCGTCGAATTTGTCTGTTTCTACCACGAGAACCGAACAGTCTACGATGTGATGGCTCATGGTGTTGCTAAATTCCAAGTGCGATCAATCCAAATATACGATGAACGTCTTTTTGTTTCTTTCTTTATTTAAAGTTGGTACAATTTCTAGCTATGCATACAAGCTAATTAAAACCAACTAAGCACCTTGTGGTCTTTCCATGTGTGACCATTTGATCTCTACACACTTTTTCGCGTTAGAGAGGTGAGTTTCTTTCAGCAAAATATTTTTGAAAGGGGGGCCATACTCTATCTCTATGCATCACTCATTTTGCAAATTCAAACTTATTTATTCCTACGCACTAAGACACATTCTTTCATTTGGAGAATTGGCACCTAAAGTACCTTCTTACATGACTTATATACATTATGAGTTCAGATAAAACCTCTCCTTTTTTACTTTCTCATATTTGAGATACAAGCATCGACTATAATCTTCCCATTCATATCTTAAATGTAGCAGCTAAAAACTTCCGTCTGAATAAACACACATTTATGAATACAAAAATAATAAAATTATGGATAACTTTTTATTTGCGCTGCTATTCAAACCATGGCCCCCAACTTTTCTGCAGAGCTAAAAAAAAGTTTTAGGCAGAAGTAGAAATAAATGTAGTATGTGATTCTGTAAGTAACTTTGCCTAGTTTTCTCTGAAATTTGTCCTTAGCTTTATCTTGGTTGCTATGTCTTTACCATAGAAGACATACATAAAATTGAATATGGGAATTAGATCGAAGAAATCGGTCATTGTCTAAGTTTTACAACGAGTGACAGCTTGGCTTAGCAAATAGATCGAGAAATCTAGCCCTGAATAACTGGGTGCCAGCACAAATTGACGGAGTTTCGTTTTTCCATTGCCTGAACTTCACACACAGGGTCTATTTGTTAACGAGAACTTTCTCTGAAACTTTACAAAAAGAGAGAAATCGGCTTTTGAAGGAAAAGAAACAGCTGGTAAGAACCTTTTTGAGGATATGAGAAATAAAGTATGGGCAGATTTGTTCTTAAAAAGTCTCATCAAGAAAACTTCAGAGTTTGATCATTTGGATAATCCATTCCTACTAAGAAAGAGAAAATATCGACACAATTATAAATTCTATTTAAACTTATTTTGACAAGCCCAGTTTGAAGGTTTTTCAAATTTTTGTTAAAGCACTAAATTTCCAAAAAATTAAGATGAGCTATTCAAAGTTATATCTTAACTGTACAAAATTGCTTAACTTCTTATTTTTAGTTGATAGTTCTTCTGTTGATATTTCAACGTTAATGTTTTTTGTTAATCTGTGCTTCATTTATTTTTTCTCCCATCTTGTTTCGGATAATTTGTAACCTGAAAGGATGATAATTCTTACATATGCGCATTTGTTAAGAAACTTTGCACTTAATCTTGTTCCTGAATTCCTTGAATTTCAATCTTTAAATTCACAAGTAAACATAGTACTTAAAATTAATCTTCAGTTTTTCTCTTTACACAATTGAAACTGTAGAATAGTGGTTGATTAAATTTTAAAATCAGGTTGCATAGTTGATTAAATACTGAACTCGTGAATAATATTAAATTTACCCAAGTGATTGAAATATTTGACAATTGTATTTCATTGAACTCATTGACATTTGCTTCATGACTCTTGTTTCTATTTCAGGGAGGAGTAAGCTTTTTATCAAAGCAAGTTTATAACATAGATCGCTTTTGGCAAATAAACTCCACTTCTGAAGCAACCCTTATCTCTGAATTAGATACACAATGTATATATATGTAGATGATAAGTCTTGAAAAAGTTTTTGACAAAGATAGATAAGAATAAATGAAAGAAAATAGAAGAAATAGAAACGCTATATATCATCTTATTGTAATGGTTTCAAATGAATAAGGATTTGCTCCTAGGCCTAGAGGTCTAAGGAGCCTCATAAAGAAATGAATACCATTATAAGAATGGAATTAACCAAACGTAACATCAAAATGCCTAAAAAGCAAAACGTTTCAAAAATTGCAAGAAGATCAGTGCAAGGAATGTTATGAAAATTATTACTAGCTAATCTAAAAGGCCTGGTCGTCAAACCTTTCTGCTCCATTCACTTCAACAAAACCGCTCGGCAGCCCTGCCAATGTCTTGCTGACACTAACGAGTGCCCATCAAATCAATATGGATGCCGAATCATAATGCAATTTGTGCGTCTATCAAAACATTGTCTGCGTGAAAGTGGTTTTCAAAACAAGCTCCCCCCCTCCCTGACTATCTTTGGCCACGCCTGGGGTACGAAAACGAAGCCTTTTCAGAATCATACATGAAATTTGAGCAAAATACGATTTTTCCAAACTAAGTTCACTTCTTGTAGTTTCTAATAATAATTGAACGAAAAAATGGCTAAAAGAGGAAAAACTTTTCCAAAATTTTGGATGATTTTTTTAAGGCTACAGACTTACTTTTTTGAAAAAGCAATGAACATAAAAAAACTGGTAATTATTTTGCAAAAAGGCTTACTTTTCCAAACTAAGTTCAAATCTAGTAGTATTTAATCATAGCTAAACGAAAAAAATTGTAAAAAGAAGAAACTAATTTCTACAATATCTGAAGATTTTTCCAAGGCTATAACCTTACTTTCTTGGCAAAGCAATGAACTTAAAAAAACTGGTAACTATTTTGAAAAGAGGGCTTACTTTTCGAAACTAATTTCAATTCTAGTAGTATCTAATCATACCTAAACGAAATGAAAAGTAAAGAGAAGAAACTAATTTCCACAATTTTTGATGATTTTTCCAAGGCTATAACCTTACTTTCTTGGCAAAGCAATAAACTTTGAAAAACTGGTAATTAGTTTGAAAAAAGGGCTTACTTTTCCAAACTAAGTTCAATTCTGGTAGTATCTAATCATACCTAAACGAAATAAAATGTAAAAAGAAGAAACTAATTTCCACAACTTTTGATGATTTTTCCAAGGCTATAACCTTACTTTCTTGGCAAAGCAATAAACTTTGAAAAACTGGTAATTAGTTTGAAAAAAGGGCTTACTTTTCCAAACTAAGTTCAATTCTGGTAGTATCTAATCATACCTAAACGAAATAAAATGTAAAAAGAAGAAACTAATTTCCACAACTTTTGATGATTTTTCCAAGGCTATAACCTTACTTTCTTGGCAAAGCAATTAACTTAAAAAAACTGGAAATTATTTTTAAAAAAGGGCTTACTTTTCCAAACTAAGTTCAATTCTAGTAGTATCTAATCATACCTAAACGAAATAAAAAGTAAAAAGAAGAAACTAATTTCTACAATTTCTGATGATTTTTCCAAGGCTATAACCTTACTTTCTTGGCAAAGCAATGAACTAAAAAAACTGGTAATTATTTTGAAAAAAGGGCTTACTTTTCAAAACTAAGTTCAATTCTAGTAGTATCTAATCATACCTACACGAAATAAAAAGTAAAAAGTAGAAACTAATTTCCACAATTTTTGATGATTTTTCCAAGGCTATAACCTTACTTTCTTGGCAAAGCAATGAACTTAAAAAAACTGAAAATTATTTTTAAAAAAGGGCTTACTTTTCCAAACTAAGTTCAATTCTAGTAGTATCTAATCATACCTAAACGAAAATAAAAAGTAAAAAGAAGAAACTAATTTCTACAATTTCTGATGATTTTTCCAAGGCTATAACCTTACTTTCTTGGCAAAGCAATGAACTTAAAAAAACTGGAAATTATTTTTAAAAAAGGGCTTATTTTTCCAAACTAACTTCAATTTTGATAGTATCTAATCATACCTAAACGAAAAAAAAAGTAAAAAGAAGAAATTAATTTCCACAATTTTTGATGATTTTTCCAAGGCTATAACCTTACTTTCTTGGCAAAGCAATGAACTTAAAAAAACTGAAAATTATTTTTAAAAAAGGGCTTACTTTTCCAAACTAAATTCAATTCTAGTAGTATCTAATCATACCTAAACGAAATAAAAAGTAAAAAGAAGAAACTAATTTCTACAATTTCTGATGATTTTTCCAAGGCTATAACCTTACTTTCTTGGCAAAGCAATGAACTAAAAAAACTGGTAATTATTTTGAAAAAAGGGCTTACTTTTCCAAACTAAGTTCAATTCTAGTAGTATCTAATCATACCTACACGAAATAAAAAGTAAAAAGTAGAAACTAATTTCCACAATTTTTGATGATTTTTCCAAGGCTATAACCTTACTTTCTTGGCAAAGCAATGAACTTAAAAAAACTGAAAATTATTTTTAAAAAAGGGCTTACTTTTCCAAACTAAGTTCAATTCTAGTAGTATCTAATCATACCTAAACGAAATAAAAAGTAAAAAGAAGAAACTAATTTATACAATTTCTGATGATTTTTCCAAGGCTATAACCTTACTTTCTTGGCAAAGCAATGAACTAAAAAAAACTGGTAATTATTTTGAAAAAAGGGCTTTCTTTTCTAAACTAAGTTCAATTCTAGTAGTATCTAATTATACCTCAACGAAAAAAAAGTAAAAAGTAGAAACTAATTTCCACAATTTTTGATGATTTTTCCAAGGCTATAACCTTACTTTCTTGGCAAAGCAATGAACTTAAAAAAACTGGTAACTATTTTGAAAGAAGGGCTTACTTTTCCAAACTAAGTTCAATTCTGGTAGTATCTAATCATACCTAAACGAAATAAAATGTAAAAAGAAGAAACTAATTTCCACAACTTTTGATGATTTTTCCAAGGCTATAACCTTACTTTCTTGGCAAAGCAATAAACTTTGAAAAACTGGTAATTATTTTGAAAAAAGAGCTTACTTTTCCAAACTAAGTTCAATTCTAGTAGTATCTAATCATACCTAAACGAAATAAAAAGTAAAGAGAAGAAACTAATTTCCACAATTTTTGATGATTTTTCCAAGGCTATAACCTTACTTTCTTGGCAAAGCAATGAACTTTGAAAAACTGGTAATTAGTTTGAAAAAAGGGCTTACTTTTCCAAACTAAGTTCAATTCTGGTAGTATCTAATCATACCTAAACGAAATAAAATGTAAAAAGAAGAAACTAATTTCCACAACTTTTGATGATTTTTCCAAGGCTATAACCTTACTTTCTTGGCAAAGCAATTAACTTAAAAAAACTGGAAATTATTTTTAAAAAAGGGCTTACTTTTCCAAACTAACTTCAATTTTAATAGTATCTAATCATACCTACACGAAATAAAAAGTAAAAAATAGAAACTAATTTCCACAATTTTTGATGATTTTTCCAAGGCTATAACCTTACTTTCTTGGCAAAGCAATTAACTTAAAAAAACTGGAAATTATTTTTAAAAAAGGGCTTATTTTTCCAAACTAACTTCAATTTTAATAGTATCTAATCATACCTAAACGAAAAAAAAAGTAAAAAGAAGAAACTCATTTCTACAATTTCTGATGATTTTTCCAAGGCTATAACCTTACTTTCTTGGCAAAGCAATTAACTTAAAAAAACTGGAAATTATTTTTAAAAAAGGGCTTACTTTTCCAAACTAAGTTCAATTCTAGTAGTATCTAATCATACCTAAACGAAATAAAAAGTAAAAAGAAGAAACTAATTTCTACAATTTCTGATGATTTTTCCAAGGCTATAACCTTACTTTCTTGGCAAAGCAATGAACTTAAAAAAACTGGAAATTATTTTTAAAAAAGGGCTTACTTTTCCAAACTAAATTCAATTCTAGTAGTATCTAATCATACCTAAACAAAATAAAAAGTAAAAAGAAGAAACTAATTTCTACAATTTCTGATGATTTTTCCAAGGCTATAACCTTACTTTCTTGGCAAAGCAATGAACTAAAAAAACTGGTAATTATTTTGAAAAAAGGGCTTACTTTTCCAAACTAAGTTCAATTCTAGTAGTATCTAATCATACCTACACGAAATAAAAAGTAAAAAGTAGAAACTCATTTCTACAATTTCTGATGATTTTTCCAAGGCTATAACCTTACTTTCTTGGCAAAGCAATGAACTTAAAAAAACTGGTAATTATTTTGAAAAAAAGGCTTACTTTTCCAAACTAAGTTCAATTCTAGTTGTATTTAATCATACCAAAAAGAAATAAAAAGTAAAAAGAAGAAACTAATTTCTACAATTTTTGATGATTTTTCCAAGGCTATAACCTTACTTTTTTGGCAAAGCAATGAACTTAAAAAAACTTGTAACTATTTTGAAAAAAAGGCTTACTTTTCCAAACTAAGTTCAATTCTAGTAGTATCTAATCACACCTAAACGAAATTAAAAGTAAAAAGAAGAAACTCATTTCTACAATTTCTGATGATTTTTCCAAGGCTATAACCTTACTTTCTTGGCAAAGCAATGAACTTAAAAAAACTGGTAATTATTTTGAAAAAAAGGCTTACTTTTCCAAACTAAGTTCAATTCTAGTAGTATCTAATCATACCTAAATGAAATGAAAAGTAAAAAGAAGAAACTAATTTCCACAATTTTTGATGATTTTTCCAAGGCTATAACCTTACTTTCTTGGCAAAGCAATGAACTAAAAAAATTGGTAATTATTTTTTAAAAAGGGCTTATTTTTCCAAACTAAGTTCAATTTTAGTAGTATCTTATCATACCTAAACGAAATAAAAAGTAAAAAGAAGAAACTAATTTCC